ACTTTCTTATGCCTTAACCTCACGAGACCTTTCTTATGCCTTAACCTCACGAGACGAAGTCGAGTGAGGTTGCATAAGAAAGGTCACGTGATTATGGTATAATTTACGCAAACCCAGAAATCGTCAACGCACCAATGGTGTATCTGTTTTAACCTACAGCTCCGCCCAGAAACACTTACTCCTTCGATCTTCAAAACTGAAAATTATACCATAGTCTGGGTATGGTATAATTTACGGTTATTGGAAATTATACTTGGAAGAATTTTACATAAGAAGCGCTGAAGAGCTATAGGTTAAACTAGAGATGTTTTCACAATTGGTGTAATTGTATTTAAGGTCAAGGCAGATCCTTTTATCTAAATGATCTCAATTTGTTATTCTTGGACTTAATATTCTATCGGAAATAGCTGCTTCATAACGAATATGGAAATAACGTCTTTCGTATTTGATATTTTAATGACATACAATGTCAACTCTATCCAATGGCATATAGAGAGAAATAAATCAATGTGAGATTTTGAGATTATTTTACCCTCATTAACAGCCGCAAAAATTAGTGGCATACGTAATAATTGTCATACAAATAGATCCGGGAAAAAAACATATTTCGTTGTTGAGCAAGTTTGTTAGTATTTTTATTGCCTAAACTTCACGGCATTGTTAACATGATGTATGTGCTGAGTTTATGTGCTTGTTAAAATTCATACATGTGTAATAGGATGGGTATATACGGTAATAAATAGAGTTGTTCTTAAAAATAAATAATTCTTAATTAGTATACTTCTTAAATTTGTTAGGGAGCATTGATTGAAATTGAATTTATTTGTTATTGTTGTTGTTTAGTCCAGCATCTTTATATAGTGACACTGATAAATCTACTGAGCTTTGAGAATTTACTCCTCTTAAAATTGCGTTATCGTTTGGCGTTTACTGCATTACAAAACATTATGCTCATTTGTTCATTGTGAAGTTGAGCTGAATTGGCGAAATAATTATTTCAAAAGATTGACTGTTATTATTGTGATTGACCATTAGTTGGTATTGCATAACGTTTCTAGAATAAAATATAAATCGGCCTAAAATATAAAAAAGACTGCTCCAATGTTTGTATAAACTGATAATTAACTGTTCACTCGCTGTTTACCCTTGTGTAGGCTACATGTGTTCAACCTTAGTACGCCACTGGATAGAAAGATTATTCGATCGAAAAAAGCATCATATTTGTGATAAATCAAATTATTTATAAATTTTGTTATCCCGATCATTTCCGTTGTTCTTAAAGCAATATATTTTAATTCAAAGATAGGACTGTAGCAATTTATGGTATGCCCTTACCGTTCATCGGCTCTTTACTTATAAATAAACATATTTACAGCCTAATACATCTTATCAAATAGAACATGGTGTACTCATGTAGATTCATTTACCTGACACAAACTTTATAGCTCGACAAGTAGATTTATGAATACTTTATATAGTTGTGTTTAACGTTTTCTTCACTCATGACACGTCGATGAAAACTGTTCACGTTCTGATTCAAGTTTAAAGGCTGTGTGTTTTCTTTTCTCCTAAACTGTCGTTCCTATATTTCTCATGATATTAAACATTGTCAAAGAATAAAACTACATGCACTTTGTATGAATATACCAGATTCTATCTGATAGTTTTTTGTGAATATGAAATATACCATATGAAAGCTATAAGGTTTATCAAAGTCGGCAAAAACAGTGAGTTTTAAAAAAGTTACGAAACTTATATTTACCTGTCCCCAACTCCATTTGTATAAATGCCATATTGTTTCAGTGACACTTTTTTCAGGCACCCCGGTAACTCTCTCCCTGATTTCAGTGGATAAACATAAAGTTTTGACACTTTCCCAACGTACTGCCTTCTTTGCCCCCCGACCCAGCGAAGGGCCGCGTATTTAAATGTTGCTCCGGCCACTAGTGCAAAAAGCACTGAACTTTGTTCAGATAACTCCATCATTTTTTATTAAAATCTGTAGTATTTAACTATCCGAAATATATTACAGTTTGTTATAAACATACAGTTTCGTCACAACTGACTGATTTTTCGATACCGTACTATGTATTTACCACAGAGGTCAAAATACATGACATGATTGCAATAAGCGTATGACTTTGGTTATCTCCCCTGACGTCCAATGAATGCTACGAATGAACGATTTTCGCATGCATTAATTCCGTGGGCTTAACAAAATAACACGTTTTAATCTAACTAGTTGAAAATTCATATCATAATTGACATTAATAATCACTTAATCAGATATGTATACATAAATTATATACATATCATTTATAATAGATAAGTGTATGTTCAATACTAATTAACTTGCTATGGTATAATATGCTAGAGTTTTAACCCTGCTTATTTTAAGAAATTATTTTAGATAAAGTGTAATTTGCTTATATTTTGATCTGGTTTAACATCAGTCTGTTAAACTGCTCTTTGTGTAACGGAATATTTATAATATGTCGTGCCTGCAACCTCTAAAGGCACATTTTGTCCTAAAAATGAGTGCATTTAATATCTTTCAAAAAAGCAAATTAGATGATTATTACCTGATCACGAAATGTGAAAAATATGATAAAAGTAGCAAAATCATAAAAGTGGTATTTTGACTTTTGATTCTTTCATATGGGAAAGCTAGCGCTATACCAGCTAGCTTACGGAAAGCCCATGATTCTACTCAGGTGCCCTTTCGTGCCTGATTGAATACACGGAAGGGCACCTGAGGTCTTCCTCCACAAATCAAGTTGGACCGTCGCCATAATATGACGTATACTGTGTCGATGAGACGTAAAATTCAAACAAACATACATAATTATTAAAAAGTTCCAGCAATTGTGTCCCAACAAGCTTGGGACAGGAACACATACATGTATAGTCTCAGCGCAAGAAAAAAATGTCAATTTAGCCCGACTATTAAGAGAGTGGCGTCGCGTCTATGTGCAACTTCATATCCATCAAACACTAAAGGCATTTGCTTGAAAGGTCACATATGTTTTTAAGGTCACTGAAGTGACTTAATTATTTTCTGTATTCCTTTAGAAATTCTTTGGATGGCGTTTTGCACGCCAAATGTTCACAACTATACTGATGTCTTTGACATGTTTATAAAGGTCACTTTCCTTGAACCGGTGGCATTTCCATGAACCATAACTCTGACATGAATCTTGACTAATATGTTGTTTTTTTATGGACATTCCTTTGTAAGATGAATATCTTTAAAAATTGAAGAAATTCGCTTAAAACTTCATCCTTGTCTTTGAGATTATATCAATAATTGAAGCACCGCTCTTAAAGGCCTTTTACTCTTACATTGGGTTTTTATACTGAATTTTAGAAAGTTCCTGGGTAAGGTTTTTTATGCGATATATATCTACATGTGTTAAAAGAGCTGGATTGAGATCCAAAAGCCTAAAACCATAACATTGAAAATCTTACATAGATAAACCTGTGCATTTGAATTGTCAAGATGTGCAAAGTGTTATAAATTATTGAATTGAAAATTGATTTTTTAATGATTCTGAAGTAGCCTGATTTCAGTTAAAAAAGCGTTTTGAATCAACGCTTTTTCAATATTAAGTCGTTTTTCACAATTGAAATGATTATCTTGATCTGAGATTTTGTACACAAGTCATTCTTCACCAAATGATACACAAACCTCTAATCTCTAATATTTAAAAGTAATATGACGAAAATAAATATGATTGTATTCTATCAAGTACCAATGAATTAAAGCATGATGCTGGAAATAATAATGTTGTTAATTGGACCTCTGAGGTAAGATAATTATTACAAAATACTGATATTTTGTTGCCTAGTTCGGTAGCTATCAATAAGTTTATAATAGTTTTCTCGTATCTGACTTCAAGATATATATGTAAATAACTTAAGACATGACATTTCATAAAGATCTTCATTCTTATTATTTAAACACTTTAAACTTATTCTAAAATTTTAGATTTTAAGAATAAGTTCAAAGCCCAGGGCATGCCTATTTCCAGACAAACTCTCCGCAGCGATGAGTTTGAATTCCTGATAGATATTTAGAAGGGAACGAAAGTTAGACGCTTTTTTAGCCGGAGCACCGTAACATCTAATTTATGTGCATTCAATTAATAGCTCAATTAAAAGATAATCCAATATTGTATTGACCATTTTTCTTTAGCAATGTGTAGGTTAAAGTTTATTAGTACGTATTTACAAAATTAAATTGGTATTTGTAAATACGTACATAAATTTTAACCAGCTTAGTGTTTTAAATTGTTTTTATAAACAGTCGATTTACTGATTAACAGTTGGCCGATTTACCAAGTAAATATGTTACGATTCATTTGAAATACTGCAATCCTATTGGACAAAATAATAATAATAATAATAAAAATAATAATTTCCGACAATATATAAAATGTATTATTTCAACTTGCACATTCATGAATGTCCGGGGTCCGTACTTTCAGAGCCTGAAAGGGCGGATGAACCCTCATTAAGCCTAGAATACATACATACTTGCACATTTTACATGCTATGTTTCAAGGCTTATAAAACGAACGTGACGTTTATGGGTTTGTTTGTTTTTGTTTTCCTTTTTTAAATCTTATATTCTTATTTTTCGTTTACAATACGGAAGTTATGTACCCGTTTAGTAATTTCTATAAATAGAACCAAGGTAATGACGAGAAAATTGTCAACTGTTGTGAAATATATATTAACTATTAACTATATATTAACCATTGTAGAGATTTGGTTTAAAGGACTATAATTTGCGTGATATATTTATTTAAGCTTTATAACTGTATACGAAGGTAAGTTTAATGTTTTGATTTATTTATTTTGTCGTTGTAATGTAATATTTTCAATATATAAAATAGATAACTTGTGATAATCGATTTGATTATAGTAACTTAGAGTAAATATAACAATATATCATACATGTACATCTGCTTCACATGATGAACAATTAAAAAATACGGTAAATATATATGTGTATAAACATGTATATTACATTATTTACAACTAGCAGTAGACTACCTATAGATCAAACTTCAATAATCAATAACCCACCGTCTCCTATTTAAAATCTCAGTATGTATTCACTAACAGTCATATTTCTGAAATCATGTAGGCATGAACATAAAATGATATTCAACTGAGAGAAGTATTTTTATAATATATCGATAATCCAATGCGTTGGACAAAAGAGCAACGCCCTACATAAAAATGTAGAAGTTCATAGGCAATACCGAGTTAGTTTAAAGTATAAAATAAAATGCCTTTTTTGTGACCAAGATTGCCATAAAAAAGTATGGAAAAGATTTTTGCTTACGATTGCATACCTGACACTGAAATAATTGTAAAAATGTGGAAATATATCAATTAGCAAATAAAGATGTCAACTTAATTATTTTTTAAATACATGTAGTTCATATAAAAACTAAAAAGAAAATTAACATATAAAATCGAGGTTAATCATGATTCTGAAAAATAGTCAGAACACGTGATAATGCAATTTTAATTTTCAGTTTACCTAGCCGATTTCACTGTCATGCCAAACAGAAATTTTTTAAGTAAAACGAGTATTGTATCTGGTTCCTCGTACCACATGTAAAATGCACGTCACACAATTTGTCACTTCACAAAATTAAAAGACATTGATGAGAGTGGTATATGTGAAAGTTACATTAATAACGACGTGATTAACTATGTTATTGTACTAAAACGTCCGGGTTGATAAATAGTTGTTTAAATGTCAGTTTTGTTTAAACTCCGGTGTTTCGGAACATTCACAATACATATTTTTTCTTCTTTTTTTTGGATTGTACATTTAAAATATTTGTTTTTATTTCAGAAATACAATGATTTCAGATCAGAATTTATCTGAGTTAGAAGAAGTTGGCTACACTGTTGTTCCAGGCGTTATTCCACCAGCAGAATGTGACAAATACATTGATGAATATAACCAGTGGTTAAAACAGTTTGGCGGGGGATGGCCTAACTCATCTAAGGGCCTCATTAGAGGATATAATACAGGTGAGATACTTCAAATTGTGATAGGTAGAGCGTTGGACTGAATACAGAAAAGAAGGAAAACATACATATGGCATCATCGCAACAACAATTCTCAAGACTTAAGTGTAATCAAATGTACGGCCAAATTCCTATTCCTTAAAACTTTCAATAATGTTATACGACCCGGGTTTGATTCCCGGACGGCGCAGGCCACTTTTGTTGTGATTGATTATAAAATCCTTTCTACGGTCATCGCACTGTACCTCTGCTCTGGCATGTACAGAAGTTATCAGTTCCTGGCGAAAGTGAAAGTAACTAGTACTGGTAAACTGCTTGACAGCATGCCCAGGAACGATGCGGGGTTTAATTCCGCTCTGGTAAATTCACTGTGGCTTATTGCCGTGATCCGGAGTGAAACTACCACCACCACCACCATCAAATTGTGCACCTATCAAGAAGATTCCGATATAATTACCCACAGATAAATTTACTGATATTCATTATTTAACAGATAACTTACTCAAATATTATTTAAGTATCACAAGCTTTACTTGCACAAAATCGATTGAAACATACAAAAAGTAATTTGATTTTAATAAAGAACGATTCATAATTTGGGCTAATTTTGTTATTCATTTGTTCTTCAATAGGTCATTTAGAAACGACATGGAATGTTCGGCTGAAAGCAAAGTCTGTATTTGAACAACTTTGGAAAACAGAAAAACTGCTGACCAGTTTCGATTCGATTGCTATTGGTCGCCCTCCTGAAGATGGAGAAGAACCCTATGATGACGGGAGCTCTCATTGGCTACATTTAGATCAAGAGGCGTGTCGTGAAGGTCTGCATGCATATCAAGGCGGTGTTTACCTTGAAGAGGCGTGTGAAGATGACTGGACTCTTCAAGTGATGGCAAAATCACACAGGGTTTTTCACAAATTTTTCGGAAAGTTTGATAGTGCAGCCAAAAAATCAAACCAAATCCAGTTTTTTAGACTGTCTAAATCCCATGTCAATTATTTTGAACAAAATGGTTGTAGAATTAAAAGAGTACCTGTTCCTAAGGGAGGGATGGTGTTGTGGGACTCGCGCGTTGTTCATGCTAATGCCCAACCCAAAGAAGGCAGGGCTAACCCTGGACGTTGGAGATATGTTGTATTTGTATCAATGACTCCTGCAAAATGGGCATCTCCCGCAGATATAGCTATTAAAAGAGAGGCTTACGAAGGAATAAAGATGACCAACCACTGGTCTTCTGAAGGTTCCGAGTTGATGAAGGAGTCAGCAGCCAGTAAAGCTCATCCTAGAACGTTTCCCGATGTGGCCCAAACAGAACAGAGTCAACTCCTTTCTGGAGTGATTCCTTACGACTTTAAGGACGGGACACCAAATGGACCACCAAAGCCCGTGTCAAAATTCTTTGTAAAATATTGATATTCATTTGATTAGCTGACATAACATTAATGATGTGATCTTAAACTAAACCGACAGAAACTGAGAGACCCACAGTTTTATTTTACAAGTAAAAAGATATATATGTTATTGTATTTGATGTTAATTTATTCTGTTTAGGTATTGTTATTGTAAATCAATGTTCTTGTAAATTATAATTATGAATCTTACCTGTTAACACCTTATAGCAAGGGTATCGTTGTAAACAATGGATTATTAAACGAAGGTTTATGTGACTATGAAGACTGTGTGAGGAAGGTGATGTGGAAAGGAGCAACATATCATGGTTGATCAATTTAGAATGTGTGTCATTATTAGGGAAAGCACCAAAAATCTCTTATACATTTGTTGTATTTTAATATGTGTTTAATAATGAACATTTTCATACTATACAGCAAATAATGTGAAAAATAATTATAGATACATTTAATGCTAATGAAGTTTTGATTTGTAATCTATAAATCTGTGCAATATATATACGACATATATTAGGTTTTTTGTGTACTTTTTTCGCATTTCTGTTGCACATACATGTATTAATGTATATGAGAAGCCCCTGAAAAACTTTTTTTCGAAATTGGTTTGAATTCAACAGATACCCTTTTCAGAAGCGACCCTGGATCTTTTTACATGCACAGTGAAGAGCACTGACACGTTGGTCTTTCGGTGTTAAGGTCATATCCGGAAAAAGTGTATTATTTTCGACAGGAGATAATTCAGAAAGGAAAATAGTTATTTTTCTTGCACGTTGCAAATCGACTCTGTGTATTCTATATTTGTGAACACTTCCTTGAATAGCTTTTGAGTTGTGCTTCATGCACACACATATGCTGTTTATATGTAAAAGAAGCATTAAAGGAGCACAATTTTGTAAACATCTCTGACCAATATGCACACCCACCTCTTAGATAAAAAGTTGTGATGAATTCCAGTTTGTGAACGAAATGGCATTAAAGGGGGAAAACTAGATACTAGTACGTGTTGTAGAAGTCAAGAATAAAATATATATTAAGTGTCACAACCCTAGAATATAAATCTATTGGTCTTGAGAATCAAGTATTTCCTTGAACTAATGAACATAAAATCAATGACCACAATCTTCCACTCATAACAAACCTCTACATCAAATTCTAAGGACTGTAGGCCAGTGCTTGTTATTGGCCAAACAAGCTTTTGAGTCTACCTTTCGCTCTCTCGATTGCTGTTTTTAGCCACTTACAAGATTTAAGTCAAAGTCCTAACTAAATGAATAGTATCACACTGATAACACTGCTACCTGTAGTTCCCATCCACTGAAGTATCCAGTTGTGGGTGCAAACAGACGGAAGGACAGACATTCAGCCAAAATGGATTATTAGGCCATTTATTAAATTGTTTAATTTGTAGGTCAGAGTGCCGTGACCCCTCTTTATGCTACTCTTACAGAATAAATCTATAGCTTTTAACTTTAAACCCAAACCCTAATCTAGTTGCTGAACGGACAATGTGTCAACTATATGCATCACAGTAACGAGTTACGACAGCATAATAACATGAAATAATACTTAAAATTTATTGAACAAAAAAGTATATGAAAACTTAACGAAAAAAAATACTGGTTTCAGGTATATTGAGAATATAGCATGTATAAAATGGTGTTAAAATTATTCTACAAAGGTTTTGTTAATTGATTATTTTCACTTGTACATTTGGAATACTAAATTACATGTATATATACTAATAAACATTAATCTACAACCTACACATTGGTACACAATAGTATCACCAACAGAAGTAAAATTATATCTGCCAATGACAGCTGCACTTTTGTTTTGATATTTTACAATGTGTTACAAAAATATACAATAGCAAACTTTTTAAATGACTAGAATATTTCAAATTACAGAAAAGTAAATAAAACAAGAGCTATCCATTTGACAAGATGCCTAAATACTTTTCTATGACCTTGACCTTGTTAGTAAAGCAAGGGTAGAATGTTTTAAGTCATTCAGTGATAACCATTGTTAGAGTTGTGTCTAAAGGTCTATGCAATACAATTATCTATCAAGTTTCAATGGAATAACTTATTGGTTCAAAGTAGGAAATAATGCAGTACATTGTATAAACTTAGTGGTCTGCAATGATGATCCCAACACATGTTTGAAGTTTCAAGTAACTTCAGTTGAAGTGGAGATTCAACATGTAAAATATCTTAACCACACATTTACAAAGGGATGTTATTAAGTCAAAATTAATAACTGAAATATGGGCCACGGACATTTACACAACTATAACACTAAATACATAAAAAGACTGAACACCTTCAGTGTTTGCGGATATTTTGCATGCAAAACTTTATCATAGATATAATTCAGTCAAAATCATATATATGACCCTCTGACAGTGACCTAGATTAATCATCCTTAATTCATGTTTAAAGTGTTAAATCAGCATTTAAGATTTATATAATACCTTAACCAAGTGTTACACAAACAACATTGTTTTCAATTTCCTCATCTACTTCACATGAATAATCAATAACCCATATGACCCATTGGAATTTCTATAAATATCCTTCGCAATTTATCAGTAATATTCAGTTGACAAAAAGAGTGGGACAGTCTATATTATATATACTTTAGGCAGTTTGAAACACAACAAGATATGTTTGTAAAACATGTATGCCCCCTATCAGCAGCCAATTAGTCATGTGATAAGGTTATTATGCATGACTTCTGACCCAGTGATCAAACAATTAATAAGGGTTATCAAGTATCTAGTGGTCATGACCTTAACCTTTGACCCCTTGACCCAAAACTCAATAGGGGTCATCTGCTGGTCAGAACCAATCATCATACAAAGTTTGAAGTTCCTAGGCCTAAGCATTTCCAGTTAATTGATTGGAAACCTTTTTTACCTACAAAGTCAACGAGACCTTGACCTTTGACCCCTTGACCCCAAAATCAATAGGTCATCTGCTGGTCATGACCAATCACCATACCAAGTTTGAAGTTCCTAGGCCTAAGGGTTCTTTAGTTATTGATCGGAAACTGTTTTAACATACAAGATCAATGTGACCTTGACCTTTGACCCCAAAATCAAAAGGGGTCATCTGTTGGTCATGACCAATCATCATGCCAAGTATTAAGTTCGTAGGCCGAAGCGTACTTTAGTTATTGATCAGAAACCGTTTTTACTTACAATGTCAATGTGACCTTGACCTTTGACCCCTTGATCCCAAAATCAATAGGGGTAATCTGCTGGTTCATGGCAAATCACCATACATAGTTTGAAGTTCCTAGGCCTAGGTGTTCTTAAGTTATTGATCAGAAACCGTTTTTACTTACAAGGTCAATGTGACCTTGACCTTTTACCCCTTGAACCAAAACTCAATAGGGGTCATCTGCTGGTCACGACCAATCATCATACAAAGTTTGAAGTTCCTAGGCCCTAAGCGTTTTTAGTTAATTGATCGGAAACCGTTTTTACCTACAAGGTCAAATGTGACCTTGACCTTTGACCCTTGACCCCAATATCAACAGGTCATCTGCTGGTCATGACCAATCACCATACAAAGTTTGAAGTTCCTAGGCCTAAGGGTTCTTAAAGTTATTGATTGGAAAGCATTTTTACCTACAAGGTCAATGTGACCCTGCCCTTTGACCCCTTAACCCCAATATCAATAGGGGTCATCTGCTGGTCATGACCAATCACCATACCAAGTTTGAAGTTCCTAGGCCTAAGGTTCTTTAGTTATTGATCCGAAACCGTTTTTTACTCAAGAGGTCAATGTGACCTTGACCTTCAACCCCTTTGACCCCAAAATCAATAGGGGTCATCTACTGATCATGACCAATCACCATATCAAGTTTGAAGTCCCTAGGCCTAAGGGTTTTTCGTTATTGATCGGAAACCGTTTTTACCTACAAGGTCAATGTGACCTTGACCTTTGACGCCTTAACCCCGAAATCAATAGGGGTCATCTGCTGGTCATAACCAATCACCATACCAAGTTTGAAGTTCCTAGGCCTAAGGGTTCTTTTGTTATTGATCAAAAACCGTTTTTACCCAAGAGGTCAATGTGACCTTGACCTTTGACCTCTTGACCCCAAAATCAATAGGGGTCATCTACTGATCATGACCAATCACCATACCAAGTTTGAAGTTCCTAGGCCTTAAAGTTCTTTAGTTATTGATCAGAAACTGTTTTTGCTTACAAGGTCAATGAGACCTTGACCTTTGACCTCTTGACCCAAAAATCAATAGGGGTCATCTACTGATCATGACCAATCACCATACCAAGTTTGAAGTTCCTAGGCCTTAAGGTTCTTTAGTTATTGATCGGAAACCGTTTTTGCTCACGAGGTCAATGTGACCTTGACCTTTGACCCCTTGACCCCAAAATCAATAGGGGTCATCTACTGATCATGACCAATCACCATACCAAGTTTGAAGTTTCTAGGCCTTAAGGTTCTTTAGTTATTGATCGGAAACCGTTTTTGCTCACAAGGTCAATGTGACCTTGACCTTTGACCCCTTGACTCCAAAATCAAAAGGGGTCATCTACTGATCATGACCAATCACCATACCAAGTTTGAAGTTCCTAGGCCTTAAGGTTCTGTAGTTATTGATCGGAAACCATTTTTGCTTACAAGGTCAATGTGACCTTGACCTTTGACCCCTTGACCCCAAAATCAATAGGGGTCATCTACTGGTCATGACCAATCACCATACCAAGTTTGAAGTTCCTGGGCCTAAGGGTTCTTTAGTTATCACTCGGAAACCATTTGGTCTACGGACCGACGGACCGACGGACCAACGGACCGACGGACCGACGGACCGACAAGTGCAAAGCAATATACCCCCTTTTCTTCGAAATGGGGGCATAATAATATTAATCAACCTTTTGAAATAAATAGCTGACTCTGATCAACTTGACAGTGGAAAATGAGAATGTGTATTTGGTTAACAGGTTCTTCAAATGAAATATTCAAGAATAAACTTACTACTTTGGAAAATTTCTTATTAGAAGATAACAACCCTCTCTGCATATTTGGTATAGAGAATGCCCAAGTTAAAGCCAGCTTTAAGAGTACAATACATGTGATATAAAAAAATAACACTTTAACAAATTGGATATATAATCACTGTCAATTATGTTTTCTCTTTATGTTTTTTCATGTGATAATTCCGGCTACTGGCCTGTGTAAAACTTTTTCCACACAAATCACATCTGAAGCTCTTCTCACCTGAAATAATATATACAAAAATATAGATGGTAGCCAAATATAGCATTCAGTTTGAAATTGATGATTTTGGAGAAAATAGACAAAAAAGCTTTTTGTTTCTAAATTCTGAAACACGAACTATACATATTGTCTAAAATATATCATAGCAGATGAGTTTTTATTCTGAAAAGATAAAGAAAATACTGGTTAAACAAATTGAAATTAGTAATCTTTCACTTATGATGGTACAGCAGTCCATCACTCTCCTACATTTAATCCATCACATTAGCAATCCCTTTATGGAGACTGTGTTTTTGTTAATTTTTAAGTCACATCAACACTTTTAAAGTCGTGTAGCGACTTTAAACCTTTCAGCTTTACTGGTGGAGAAAGTCTTCAGGTGTCCCTTCATGCAGTATTTCTGGCATAAGTTGGCACCTAAGTAGAACCAACAACCTTCTATAAGCTAACTGGATAGCTTTCTCACACTAGGTCATATTGTATGTAAATGTGACATTGACTTAAAGACCAAATAATATAACAGGTTTTTCTAATGAAATGTGAAATAAGATAACCATTCTTCATTGTTAATCAAAAATAAATCCTTCTACACTTACTACTTTTTTTAAGACGCAGGGGAAAAATTTAACATAGAGAAAGGATGAAAAAAGATCAACAAATGTAATAAATTCTCGCTTTTCGATAAAAATCCCCCGTTTTTTAATCCTAGAAGAGACACTGATCTTCACAAGTAAAATTCACAAACAAAAGGTTACTCTGTTATCATATATAATTTAATTTTATATGATAAGCCTTGTACAAAATACATGCAAAGATATTTTTTGGCATGAAATCATTCCTCTGTTTATAATGACCTGAGCTAGTACAAGTTCTACTCCTCCTATATAGTTACCAGAACACATGAAATCTCATTCATTTATCTATCTTTATTTCTTGACAAAAGAATATCTATATTTGTGTGTGTGTATTCGTTACCTGTATGTATAACTTTGTGCTTCTTAAGACTTGACAGCTCTGCAAATGTTTTTGTACAATCCTTTACATCACAAGCATATGGTCGCTCTCCTGAAACAGAACAGTAATATACACATGAGCCGCGTCATGACAAAACCAACATAGTGCGTTTGCGACCAGCATGGATCCAGACCAGCCCGCGCAGTCTGATCAGGATCCATGCTGTTCACTATCAGTTTCTTTACTTGTAATAGAGTTGGTTAGCGAACAGCATGGATCCTGATCAGACTGCGCGGATGCGCAGGCTGGTCTGGATCCATGCTGGTCGCAAACGCACTATGTTGGTTTTGTCGTGACGCAGCTCACATATTTTTAGCAAGTTTTTTTTCTCATCATATTTCACGATAAACAAACAAAGTCTCTTTACATGTACAATGTAAATAGATTAATTGATAAATATATATGAACTTCTTTAAAATTTAAGATAATGTTAACCTTAACAATCCACTGTCATGCTTATGTTCATAAGTTTAAAACATTAATTGGTATTTTTTTTTAAATACAAGCCTACAGATGTATCATAGACAAAAAGTAATGTACACATGCCATTTATCTATAAAGAATTTCACTGAAACTTCAGAATATTTTACTGACAACAAATTTTAACAAGAGCACCGCTAGGCGGAGCATTATATGCCCGAAAGTGTTTTTTTTTTTAGTAAGGATGAAGCATTCATTAGACATGGGAATATGCTGACCTTAACCTTTGACCTTGTGACCCTAAAATCAATAGGGGTCTTCTACCTTATATGGACAATCATCCTATGAAGTTTGAATATGTGGGTCAAATGGAATTTAAGTTATGCTCCGGAAACTGTTTTCAGTATCAAGGTAATAGTGACCTTGACCTTTGACCTTTTGACCCCAAAATCAATAGGGGTCTTCTACTTAATATGGACAATCAACTTATGAAGTTTGAACATTGTGGGTCAAATGGAACTTAAGTTATGCTCCGGAAACTGTTTTCTGTATCAAGGTAATAGTGACCTTGACCTTTGACCTTGTGACCCCAAAATCAATAGGGGTCTTCTACCTAATATGAACAATCATCCTATGAAGTTTGAACATTGTGGGTCAAATGGACTTAAGTTATGCTCCGGAAACTGTTTTCAGTATCAAGGTAATAGTGACCTTGACCTTTGACCTTGTGACCCCAAAATCAATAGGGGTCTTCTACCCAACATGGACAATGATCCTATGAAGTTTGAACATTGTGGGTCAAATGGAACTTAAGTTATGCTCCAGAAACTGTTTTCAGTTTTAAGGTAATAGTGACCTTGACCTTTGACCTTGTGACCCCAAAATCAATAGGGGTCTTCTACCCAATATGGACAATCATCCTATGAAGTTTGAACATTGTGGGCAAAATGGAACTTAAGTTATGCTCCGGAAACCAAATTGCTAACGGACAAATTGCTAACGGACGGAAACTGTTTTCAGTATCAAGGTAATAGTGACCTTGACCTTTGACCTTTTGACCCCAAAATCAATAGGGGTCTTCTACCTAATATGGACAATCATCCTATGAAGTTTGATAATTGTGGGTCAAATGGAACTTAAGTTATGCTCCGGAAATTGTTTTCAGTTTTAAGGTAATAGTGACCTTGACCTTTGACCTTTTGACCCCAAAATCAATAGGGGTCTTCTACCCAATATGGACAATCATCCTATGAAGTTTGAACATTGTGGGCCAGATGGAACTTAAGTTATGCTCCGGAAACCAAATTGCTAACAGACGGAAACTGTTTTAGTTTTAAGGTAATAGTGACCTTGACCTTTGACCTTGTGACCCCAAAATCAATAGGGGTCTTCTACCCAATATGGACAATCATCCTATGAAGTTTGAACATTGTGGGCCAAATGGAACTTAAGTTATGCTCCGGAAACCAAATTGCTAACGGACAAATTGCTAACGGACGGAAACTGTTTTCAGTATCAAGGTAATAGTGACTTTGACCTTTGACCTTTTGACCCCAAAATCAATAGGGGTCTTCTACCCAATATGGACAATCATCCTATGAAGTTTGATAATTGTGGGTCAAATGGAACTTAAGTTATGCTCCGGAAATTGTTTTCAGTTTTAAGGTAATAGTGACCTTGACCTTTGACCTTTTGACCCCAAAATCAATAGGGGTCTTCTACCCAATATGGACAATCATCCTATGAAGTTTGAACATTGTGGGCCAGATGGAACTTAAGTTATGCTCCGGAAACCAAATTGCTAACGGACGGAAACTGTTTTCAGTATCAAGGTAATAGTGACCTTGACCTTTGACCTTTTGACCCCAAAATCAATAGGGGTCATCTACCCAATATGGACAATCATCCTATGAAGTTTGAACATTGGGGGCCAAATGGAACTTAAGTTATGCTCCGGAAACCAAATTGCTAACGGACAAATTGCTAACGGACGGACGGACGGATGGACGCCAGGGGGTATAACATAATATGCCCTTTCGGGCATATAAAAACAAAAGATTGGCATTAAACTGCATACAATTTCTTTTAACAGTCCATTATATAATCCCCCAGAAATACATTTATTTTTATTTCTATAAAGCTTTCTATTTCTGATGTTCTGTTATAGTTTCTAAATGGTTACTTATTGGCCATTTTCCTGAACCATCTTTTGGCCATTTAACCTTTTTGAAAATAGTACAATTACAGTGATTTAGTATTTTGAATGGAAGTCAAATTAGTACTTTGTTTACATTTTTTCTATTTTTATAACAAATATTCCCATGTCTTTCCACACTTTTTCCATGGAATAAGAAATTACATTGTATCATGCTCAAAAACCATTATTTAAACGTTATAAAACTCATATTGGCCCTTTCTAAAGAAGGAAAAATTTATTCATTTCAGAGGCATAATGTGCCTTTAAAAATCATATGTTACTTAATAGTGGTGGCTATGCTACAATTAAACAATGCTTAAAATACCTGAATGAGTTCTGGAATGATTTTTGAGGTTACCAGCTGTAATAAAACTTTTATTACAGACACTACAGGTAAATGGTTTGATCTCCTTGTGCGTCATCACATGCTTATCTAAATGTTGAGCTTTTGAAAACACTTTACCACATTCTGAACACTGGTGATTCTTCTGTCCTCTGTTGAGACAAAACAAATACATAATTGACAAATACATTCCTCCTTATTTTAGATATATCACATCAAAATGTCCTCAACAACAACCTCTGCACATCAGTAGTTAAAGTTAAGCAATCTTACTATCCAGTGGCATTGATTACAGACCTAAGCAACCCATACAAGCCAGGTAAGCCTGCATATCAATGTAGTCTCATCAGACTCTTTTTTCTTTACTGCTGAATTCTAGAATTTGATATCAAAATTCCCTCTCATTAACAATGGGCATTTCTAAACTGAAAGAAGGACTAGTCAATCACATAAATGAGACAGGGTAATGGTTTATAATATACTGTTCTTACATTATAAACATCATTATAAATATACTCAAATGTGTATTTTCTGAAACTCTATAACTACAAAATTGTCAATAATTTAATATATCATATGATATTATATGTATATATAACATGTATATAATTAAAGTAACATACAGTCGACTCTCGTTATCTCGAAGTCATCGGGACCGTCCAAAAAATATCGAGATAACGAAATGTCGAGATAAACGTATAAGGTTTGAACAAGGCAGTAACTGATTTTTACAAAGGCATGTGCATATCTTAAGTCAAATAGATTAAAAGTATGATATCTCCATGTCATGTTTTCTTGAGCCTTATATCCAAAAGTCGATATTTAACAAAGTTAAATTAGCGGATATTTACCAGCCAAAAAACTGGAGTCTGTGATAAAAACACATAGTGAGGTTTACTCAGTAATACACCACTATAGTGAAAACGTTTTCAGCCTGGTCGATCCAGATATCCTCCCAGGTTGGTTATTGGACCATTCTCGAAATAGTTCTACCGCTGTTTGCTATTTTTTTCGATGTTGTAAAACAATATTGCAACGATAATGTTTTTATACTGAACACTTTTCATTTACATCTAAAGTCACAATGAATTTAATACACTGTTCGAATATTTTATAAATAATGGAAGATTCACTCATTTTGGACATAAGTCAATCAATACGTTAATTAGGTAAACATTTATAAACAATGTTCGACTTGTTACAAACATAGTCATCATTATGACACATGCTATTAAGTGATTATCGTCTGATTTGTGTTTTTCACACCTCTGCGGTGGAAAGACGAACAATTATTAGTCGAGATAAAGAAATGATAATAGTGTGAAAATTACTGTCGGGGCTGAAATTTTACTTCGAGATACTGAAAATATCGAAATAAAAATATCGAGATAAACACATATTTCCAATATAGATAAAGAAGGAAGAAAATCGGGACTTTTAAAATGTCATCAAGATAAAGAACTATCGAGAAAAGCAATGTCGAGATAACGATAGTTGACTGTAGTCATGTATGTACAACAGAACTTGTTTAAATTTGATTCAAGCAAAAAAATCCATGGCAAAATATTTACCCTTTTCTATGGTAAAATTGCACAACAATATGTGGTACTTACTCTTGTTTGTCTGTGTGGTAAAATTGGGTAAAAGTATAGTTTGTTTTGGTAACTGTAAACTAGTCTAATCGATATAATTTTGTCTGTGCTAATATCGGATAACTGAAAACTAGTACTTACTCATGTGTTTGTTTGTGGTAACTAAGATGACTTCTGTAAGTGAATGTTCTCACACAATCAGGGACAGGACAGCTGTAATGCTGATGATTGGTAGAGTGTACCTCTAGTTTATCTACATTACTGAACTGTTTCATACACATCACACACACATACAGTATAGGCTTCTCTGAAAAAAAAAGATAATTTAACATTTTTTAAAAATATTTTCCTAGAAAATTCAAAATTTTAAAAAATCAATATCTCTCATATTAAAATCATAACAATGGAGAATAATTTCTGTTTTAGAACAGTAATTTCTAATTAAACTATGATACTGTTTCATACAGCATTTAGAGGTCACAAATGTGTGTAATGATGTGAAGAGTCTTTGAAAACAAGTTACATGACAAAAGTGATAAATTTTGCATGACTTCAAGTTCAACTGCAGAAAATTGTCACAAAAAAAAAGGTTTTCCATGAATAATGATAGAATCACAAAACAAACACACTATGGAATTTGATGATGTTAGATATGTGAGATTTGGTTGTAATCCCATGAGAACAGTTTTGTACATTACATTTAAAAAAAAAAACAACAAGTTACAACAAAGGGCCATAATATGGCTAAAACTAAGTAAGTAACTCCCCATACCCTCCAAACCTGGTTTAAAATTGAAGACATTATTGGAAATTTACCAACCTTTTTCATTTTCTTTACTTATATTCCTATTCCCAGGTATATACCCTTCACTTCTAACATTTGTTTCATTGTGTGAAGTATTGTTGTAATGAATATTCCTATTTTCATCCTGAGACTGGCTTCCATTCAGTGTCATAGATGCTGTATTACACTCTACATGTCTTTTCTTTGGGGGCAGCATATAATTTATCAAGTCATGCTTCCTTTTTAAATCTGTGCTCTGTTGTGTTTGCTCGACCCATTTGTTTGAAAAGGACTCTGAATCTCCTAGTGTATCCCCTAAAAGATGGTCTTGAGGACACTTTTTTATTCCAATATATCCAGGTCTACTGATTCTGGTATTTAGTTCTTCATTTGTTGATAAACTATTTATAACACTATCTTTTTGTAATGGACAGGGTGTATCTAAAATGTTTTTAACTGCTGACTGAGTCTCCAATTCTAGTTCAGAAATATTTGTTGATTTAAAACATGGCTCACTGACTTGTTTAAAAACTTCAGTTTTTTCACTTTCAATGCTATTATTTGTTTCACAAGTCTTTGACTTTACTTTAGTTAAACTTAAGTCTATATCTTCTTTAGGAATTTTAACATTTAAAAGGGTAGTATAATTAGCATCATCATTATAAGAAATGCTTGAGGTATGATTACTTATTTCACAACCCTGTCTTGTTTTGTCTGAAAAGGTATCCAATACACTACATGGAATACTATTTATATTGTGAGATACATTTCCCAGAATATTACCACCCAAATCATGTGTTTCATCTACATTACTAGAGGATTCAGGATTTTTCTGGTTATTTGAGTAAGTGCACTTGTCAAAATCAAAGTCAGTGATATTATATTCCTGCATGATAGCTTCTTGTGTTTGAGAGATGAGATTTGCAGTTGCGAGGGCATGTATTTCATTAAGTCTGGGTGGAGACAGCTGTAGAGGATTATACAAGTTTGGTCCATTAGAACTCTCATCATCACTGGAACCTAGGTTTTGAAGAAGAATTGCCAGCTGGTTGGTTAAGTGGCTTCCAGATGATTCTCCATTACCAAGACTTGGGAAGAGTTCATCTAACATTGACATGTCTGAAAACAAAAAAACTGTGCCATAAACTGAACAAGGAAATGAAATAAGTAAGCAAATTAGAAACCAACTAAATCAATAGCTGTCACTGGAGAGAGCACATGATTATTCTTCATGCATGATATTTAAACAGCCATAAATGAATTTCACAAAGAGATACATTGTACTTTGTACAATTAAGGAAAATAAGAAAATGAAACAAGAAATAATGTTAAATAGAAATTATTCAAACCAGGTGAAAATTTCACTGTACATGGATATTAATTATTAGATGTACCTACATGTTTTATAAATTTATTACATAAAAGAGAGGCTCATAACTCATATTTCAGAGTATGTAAAATTAAACATAATAGGAAGGAAAACAAGAAAAAACCAACTAAACAAGAAAAAACCAACTAACTTATGAATATGTAAACATGTATTTAGCCCTTAACCTGCTGAAACTCTGTCACCAGTATAGAGCCCAGCTAGCATAACCATGCAGTCTGACTGGGAGCTACACTGTTGACTGACCAACTTCAAAATTTCATCTCCTTATACACAAAATTGATAATAGATAATTGATAATAATAATTCCCAAAATGTAAACTTGACAATTCCATTTAAGAAATTTAGGGTTATACATGTACCTGCTGAAAGTGAAGCAGATGATGACTCTACTTGACAACTATCTTCTTTCATACTATCACTCATGATGGGACATCAACTAAAATAAATAAACAAAATTTCATTTTATTAAATTTTATATACAATTTTATTATTATTTTATCCAATTTGAGCATACCGGTATTTGTGAATTTTATACTTTTATTATATCAATATTTTTTTCTATTTTCTTTGCCAATTAAATTCAATATTATTATAGCACACCACTGTCTCTGAAAATCTCACAAAAAATGTGAAAAATTATCGCTAACATTGCTACTTTGGGAATTAAAAAAGCAGGTTTAAGTTTAGATTTTGGGAAAACTGCATGATTTTAAAGAAAATTTCAAATGAGAAGAGGCATTTTATCTGAGTCTGTTAAATAGGTAGGAAAATCACTGCGGCTGCCACCCTAGGTGTTTCATTTTACATAGACTTTTATAGTTAAATGTCTTAAAAAATCTTCTTCTCTTCAAGTGCATTAATTGCCCACAGCTTAGCATTATTTTAACTATGTTTGTGTGTTTGGAATTAGGGTGGTTTCGTCTAACTACCGGTTCGGCTAACTTAATTTATGAAGAGGTGCGAAAGTGGTTTCGTCTAACAGACGTGGTTCATTTATATAGTGTTTTTATCATCAATATTTTGTTATAATTAAATTATGACGCAAATATCATTAATGAATATAATATATTGTAGAAGTGTGCTTATATATTACACTTGAAAAGTTTTTTTCATTATTTGATAAATTATTTTTGAGTCAAGAATAAAGTACAAAAAAAAACAACATTATTTTGTTTGCAAAATTAATTGTTTAGTTAGGGCTTGGTTTACGAAATAAATCAATTGTTTATAATTGATGACAGAGAAAGTTTGTTTGTCCAGGCCTAGACATTAACTTTTGAATCAGGTTGTCCTGTCAGGCAAGTAGTTTTTAAAACTACTTGCCCTGACCTAAGACTTACTTGTCCTGACCTAAAAATGGTAAAAATGTATAAATCAGAAAAGACAAACAAGCTCATACATTAATACTTCTTGTATAAGGTAATGTTAACATAAGGCAATAAACTGGACATATTGTTTATGAAATTGATTGTTAGTTAGACACAAATATTTTTTGTATTTAGTAGTTTTTCTAAAACATCGGTTCATCTGTTTATTCAATGTGAATATACTATGGTCATGTACATTTGTTGATATAGGAAACGGAAGGAAAATTATGAACATGTGCCGCGGTAAGGTAATTCCCCATTCAATCATCATCCGCGAATTGATGTCAACAGCCGTAAACGAGTCTTCCTTGACTATGTTCATAATGTTGTTATATTAGATAAAACAATAAATCATTTTAAATGCAAAAACTTTATTTAACAATTATATTTAAAGATCAAAACGATTATTTACATATTTTCAATGATATCTTTACATGCAAACATCAAAATTTAAACGACAGCATAAGCCGGGAATTACCTTGTAAAAAATTAGATATAGTCTATTATTAGAACGGGGAATTACCTTACCGCGGCACATGCTCATATTTTTGCTCCCGTTTCCTATATCAACAAATGTACATGACTGTAGTATATTCACATTATTGATAATGATTCATGGTGTATTTTTGTTTTAAAGATGTTTATAAATGAAAAGATGTTATCTCTTTTTATTTTGTACATGCATTTCAGTCTTCACGAAAAACTTTAAAAAGCACAGGAAATTCGGGCCAGTAAAATATCAAATCTTACTGGACCTGGTGATTTTTAGCCGGACCAAATACATAGATAGGTAAAAAATTGATGGAAACAGGAAAACACTTTATCATGCTTCCCTTGATAATTTTGAAAGAAGCATAATATGTCTTGTATTCCGGGCCATATGTTGACAGCTTTGAAAAATCTTTAAGGACCAAATGTTTTGGCAAAATTGACTAGAATTGAACATGAACAACGCAATTTGCTTTAAACAAATCACTTTCACACAAAATATTTACTTAACTCATTAATCACAAAATCATAGCTTAATAATGACCATAATAAACAATGGTTTAATTTCCGTAACTGTACGGTGTGGTACGGAAAATATCCAAGAAAAACAAGCAATTATCATAGTATTGCAAGCAATCCATAAGTCCCCTACCGGTAAGAGCCCAAGCAACATTCTGAAGGGCCATTGGCCATTCACTTATGTTCCTATTTAAATAAATTTGTTGAAAAAGTTCTTTAAAAGTGATCACAGGAAACAGTTTTTATGTACAGACAGACGGACTGAAGGACACTCCAAAGTTATTTTTTAAACATCCCTGTTATCAAAATATAACATTTTTAAAATCCTATCATGATTGAAGAAGTTGGAGTAAAAATTACCAATTTCTCAAAAAAAAGTCTAAGTTCAAAAGGGGCATACTTCTGGATATAATCTTGCTAGAGTATTGAACACTCACAAATGTTGAGTGATAATAAGAAACATTTATATGAAGTTTGAAGTAGATACATTCAGAAAAAGAAGTTATTAATAAAAACAATGTTTTTTCATAAAAGTTTTATGTTCAAGGGAGGTAATTCTGATAAATTTTGTGCTAAAGTTGTAAACCTTGTCACATATGATGTGGTTGATGACAAGCAACTCATATTTAAAGTTTGAAGAAAATACCTTAAGAAATAAAGTATTTATAGTGAAAAAACTTAAAAACTAGAATCAGAAATCTTGAAATTCAGTCTATTTGTTGCTATAGCAACCAGAATTTTCAACATAGGAAGATAAGAAAAGGATGCGCATAATTTCCATACTGCCATCTACCTATATGTCAAGTTTCATAAAAATATTTTCAGTACTTTTTGCGTTATCACAGGATCCAGGTTAAGTGTAAAATTTGCCATATTTTCAGTCTATTTGTTGCCATAGCAACCAGAATTTTCAACATAGGAAGAAAAGAAAAAGACATGCATAATCTCCATACTGCCATCTATTCATATATCAAGTTTCATAAAAATATTTTCAGTACTTTTTGCATTATCACGGGATCCAGGTTATGGGTAAAATTTGCCATATTTTCAGTCTATTTGTTGCCATAGCAACCAGAATTTTCAACATAGGAAGAAAAGAAAAAGACGTGCATAATCTCCATACTGCCATCCATCCATATATCATGTTTCACTAAAATATTTTCAGTACTTTTTGTGTTATCGCGGGATCCAGTTTTATGGACAGACGGACTGGCGGACGGACAGACGGATGGACTGACGGACAGACGGACGGAGGGTAAACCTAAAGTCCCCTCCGGTAGGGGACTAAAAAATGGCGGCCTCCATTACTCAATACAATTTAGACATCTCTCGCTGTGTATTGAACAATTAGGACAGAATAGATGGGTTTCATTTGCAAAAAAGGCAAAAAGATCAATCTTTTAGAGAACCCTGCTTCATTATTTTGATGAATTTTTCTTATAATATTTTTTCATGACAAAAAAATCTACTGGTCCGTCGGACCACCAACCTTGCAATAATCACCAGACCGATGCTAAATTTAGTGGCCTCGGGCCTCGGACTGGCGTTAATTTCGAATACTGGCATTTTGTGAATGATGCTTTTTATTTTCACTTGCCCTGTCGGACAAGTGCTTTTCAAAATAACTTGCCCGGACCAAACTTTTAGTTGTCCCGGCGGACAAGTGCTTGTCAAAATAACTTGCCCGAACCAAACTTTTAGTTGTCCCGGGCAGTTGGACAACCGTTAATGTCGAGCCCTGTTGTCTTATCAGCCGATCAGTAAACACTAATCATGTATCATAAAGGTGTTGAAATATTTTAATAGACGTGCGTGTTTGCCTAAAACTGACAACAAAGTGGACCAATATTGGCTGTGAGGGATTACGTGGAGAGGACATGGATCAACGGTAGTTTGTGGCAGCTGATTCACTGGAGTGTATTCTGAGAGACCGTTCGGACGAACAACGATGTTGAAGGTAAGATCCTGAAACAATTATAATACAATATATTTATATATTAGTTAATGTCTATTTGGGAATTTGTTTAAAATTTCAATATCTTGTCTTTAATTGCATGAAAATGTGTGATAAACCACACAGTAAGACCTGTGATAATTGATGTGCCTATTATACAATAGCTATTGTTCACTTTATAAATTATGTTAGCCGAAACCAATACCTGTTTTACTATATAAGATCAGTTAGACAAACCGGTAGTTAGACGAAACCACTCCCTACCGTGTGTTTGTACATAACTGTATTCAAATTTGTTACAAGTTATTGTTTTGTTAAAATATATATCAACCTCTTGTGCTTATATTATTGTTTCTTAAACTCCTAACCATGTCTTATATACAAAATATGGCCTATTTACTAAGCCATGTGTCAATGCTTTTTATGATGAAGTGAATATAATTATTTATGCAGCACCTCTGATGTATGTAATTTTTTGTGTATAATTAAACTGGTTAAACATGGTGCTATAATAACTTAAATCCATGTATTTAGATGTGCTTATGCTTAGAATTTTTAGTTGCTTTAATATCTTACTTCCATGTACTTTATTGTGCTTATGCTTATATTTTCTTTGATAGCGAGCTCGACGAGCTGGCCCGAAGGGCCTGCTCGCAAAGCGAGCTTTACGGTAACGCGAGTACCTGCTAAGTGATGGTTTTGAAAACTTTCGTCCGAAGTACCGAATTGGACACATCGCAACTTTTCGAATTTAAAGATAACGATAAAAACTGAGGAATTCTGACTGAAAACGGATGTGTAGACTGGCCACCCGCGCACGTCTATGGGAACCATAATTGGACAGGGAACCAGAATAACGGAAGCTGTGTAAAAAAATTAAAATTGAAGGCGCCATTTTGTTTGAAAAATCTGATAAATAAAAACAATTTTCTGTCGAATTTTGTTGTGAAAACTATCTAGAATGGAAGAAAATGGTCTAACTAAGAAAATGAATCCGAACACCAATATCTTTTATTCAGTCGTTAACGCTGTACAGACGTTTAAAGTATTGTTTACGTGACGTCACAATGTAGCGCCAAACAGCACGTGCAAAACAATCTACGCTATTTTAATGTCGCAAACGTTTTAAGTTTTACATTTAATTAACCTTTAATAATCTTTATTTCGCTTGAAAAATTATAGAGTGAAATAAAATAAACAAAGTTTTATCAACGTTTCAAAACTCGTTATTCATTTAACGACAGGGGCGGAGCCATATTTACGTGTGTGACGTCACACGCACTCGTCACTGCATTTGAAATAAAAATGAGCGATTATTTCATACTATTGAACGTTATAAAAAGTACATCGAGCTCGCTTTGAGGCTTTGCCTTTTTCATATTAGCTGCTTTACTTTTGTTTAGTTCATATACTATTGTTTGTCGGAAAATAGCTCATGAGCTACTGTTTTCTGTTTATATGTATCCAACGTAAAATAAATTTTCTTGCATCTTGTATCTTGAATCACATATGAATCAATATGAAAATGTCTAAATCTAAAAAATCAAAATCCCTAGATAGCATGGACTGGACGCGCCTTTTTGAAAATCTTGGACTGGTTCTATGTTTAAGCTATAATTGGTTGCAAAGATGCTTTTGAGAAAAAAAAATAATAAAAGGCTCTTTACAATTGAGACTATTGCTGGAAACTTGGTAACTTTTATCCAATTTTTTTATTGTCCGAAAAACTGTCAGTTCATAAAAATAAAATTCACTGGTGTTAAAGGGATAAGCAAACAAATACGACAATCTTATACAATATGTCCAAATAAACCTCGTATACATACATATTTATGAACATATCTAAAGAACGTACTAGCATTAAAATAAAACGATTTTGCAAATTTATGAAATATTCAAAGAGTAACGAACGCTTTATTTTCATCTAAGTGATCCAGATCAATAACATCGCTATATTCCGTCCCGAAATTTTACCGTCATTATATTATTTTGCAGACGATATATTTAGTTTCAATTAAACACAGGAACTTTAAATTATATCAGTATTAATGATAATATCCAAAATATACCCCCTATACTGTATAGATAAACACTTATACTGTATAGGGATATATTTTGGATATTATGATTAATATTGATATAATTTCAAGTTCCTGTGATTAAAATTAATAAATATATAAATAAGTATTCGTCTGTAAACAATATGATAAACAGACCGACCCATGTCCCTCAACTTGATCTCCACTGTACATACATATCCTGTTTTTTATAGTTCAGAATGCTCAGCCAGACATATACATGTACTTTTGTTGTTAGTTAAGTTATCGTTTGTATAGAAGGGGCGGGATATTCATCGTTGTAGAATTTTGTTTTGTGTACGTATTACCTAAAACTAATATTATGAAATAAAGTACTTTTCATGAATAATGTAAGTGCAATCATGCATGGCTCTAGCCTACATCATTTATGTTTGAAATAACTTAATTTTATCAACAAATAAAGTTATCGTTTAACCATGTAGCGAATCTGTAAGAACGCTGAACATTACATTACAGCGTTGGTAAAATAACTGACCTCATTTGAAATCAGCCGTAGCTCAGTAGGATTGCAATTGTTGGCTAAGATATACATGTAAGTTTAAAGATACCATTTGATCGCGGGATTTTCTTGTTGTCATTTCAATAACAAACCTTATGAAATGGACGTACTAATAGCCCTCGGTATCGGTACGACTTTTAAAGTATCTGCTTTGTCCTGGATAGCTTATAAAAGGCAAAAAGTATATGTTGGTCAAGTGTCGCGAATCAACGTGTTTCCTTTAAAATCTGCAAGGGAATTACAAAACATTACAAATGTCACTCTTACCAAACATGGATTGATGACTAAAGGATTAAGTGACAGGTAAGATTCAATTTACATTATATGTAACAACAGCAGAATCTTAGCAATTAATTGGTCTGGGTAATACAAAGATACAGTAATTGACACACACACAAATTTAAATATAGACGACACGCGTGTATTTGAATCTAGCATTTATTATCATAAAAGATAAATTCATCATCATGCTTATCATAATAGTATTAAGCTACGTAGAACATGTTGCATCAGATTCTAGCCTCTTCAACTGTGTCGTTTATGACGCAATTTAAAAATAAATATGGTATATACATGTTTACAATAATGTTGCATGCGCAAATGCATGTAATTTCCAATTTACACTGAGTTTTCATCATATGACTTTGTTTGTTACCATGCATATACGTTTGTGTTTTGCTTACAGATGAACATTGTATACTAAATGAAATTAATTATAAATGATAAAACAATATAATCTGGCTTGCTAAACTTCAATTATAGTACAATTTAACTAGCTATAGCACAGCTGATCACTTATGATACATGTGAGAGACCAACCCTGACTAGTATACTCATATATGTTATTGTAATATATATTGGTGCAAATGTCTTCCATTTCAGACACTGGGTTGTTACTAGAAATGGACAAAGACAAAACATTGGTTTTCTTCCGACCCTAACACTTATTCGAACTAGTGTCGAGGGAACGAACCTTCGGCTTGATGCGCCAAACGTGGAACCTCTTATGTTACCAATACATCCAGATATCAACCAGGAAAATTTAGTCACTATTTTGTAAGTATTTGTGTAGATATTGTCTAACAATATTAACCTGGCACTTCATTAACTTTCGTAAAGATCATTTGAATAAACACTGACCAGCATCTATCGAATATATCATATTTGCTAACTTCACTCGTCAGTGAGCTCTGGTGTATTGGTATAGATGTCGGACTACCGATCTGAAGGTCTCTGGTTTGATTCCTTACCAACACCACTTTATGTTGTGTTTTTTTTTAATTTACTTGCAAGAATTAATTTGAAATAGTTTTACTACACCTGGTTTTAGAATTCCCTTTAAGTGGTGTTTTATATATATATTACGTTATCTTTCAACGGTTCTCTTTGTCACATTATGCATTTGTATGAGCTTTAGCGAATACACGCAATAAAGGCAGTTATTAAAATACTGCATAGATAGTACACACTAAAAAGTACTTCAATAGTTTTAAGAGAATGGTAATTTTAAAATTTAGACAAAGAAAAACCCGCTGATATAGGATTGGCACCTACCAGGTTAAGTCTATATCCTTCAAGTGACACCCCTTTACCAGCTGCTGTCTTACACCCGATTTTAACAATTACTCTCGAGCTAGATATTCCTGTCTATGCCAGAAGCCGGTGTAAGTTCCTTATAATCTTATACTGAACCTCAAAGGTATCGCTTTCAGAGTTAAAGAACAGAAACAGTCTACATTAGATTGTGGTGATAAGGCTGCGGCATGGATTTCAAAAGTTGTTGGGAAGGACAATTTGAGATTACATCACTCAGCACCATCATTAGAAAAACGTCTGTCTCATCAGGTGTTGAAAGATTGGCCCACACAAATCAGGAAACACGATGAGGTAAGTGGTGATATGTCTTTAAAATGACAAAATCGTATGCAGCTTTTGTAATACATATCAGAATGTAAACAAACGACCTCCAGGTACGTCTTTTAAGGTGACAATATCAGGAATAAGGTTAACTCATTTTGACATATGATTATGTACTTACTGCACATAATGCATATCAAGATACAACAAATGCATCACATTATATTTGCACCACAATGCCTCAATAAAGACGACTTTATTGGAACCAGTGGAAAGGATTTGTCACCAGTTTTATTGGTCATACTTTTTTTACACCACTGTGCACAATAAGCAATGTCTTTGACAACATGTAAATGAAAATGTAAAGACTATTCTTCAAGATAGATCAAAGAGCCCGCTGACAATTGATCAAGGAGCACTGACCAGTACCATTTTCCTCCAAGATTCTAAAGTTATGTTAGTTTATTAATAAAGAGGATCTCACAAGGGTGTTTATTTCTATAATAATTAATTAATTATATATTCACCCTGTTACAGGTTGCATTCCAAGATTTTGTACCATGTATGATAATGTGTCAATCTTCAATGGACGTGTTGAACCAGCGTTTAGATAAACCAGTTTCTTCATTACAGTTCCGACCAAATATAATGATAGAAGGAAGCGAGCCGTTTGATGAAGTAATTTTCACTTTTATAAAAAAATATATCTCACATATATAAATATGAAGAATATTTTAACCCTTAAATTTCCCCGTTAGTAAAATGCGATGAGTTGCTTATAATCCTTTATAAAATTTGAATACAATGACTTTTTTTAAAATGTAATCAAGAAAGCGATAAAACAATACTTTCAACCTGTAATTATATTACAGAAATACATGTATCACAATTTATAGGTTTCTCGATTAAAACTGATTTTTGCACTCATATTTGTTATTGGGCTGACTGGAACAATTTATAATAATTGGTTTAATAAGTATTTGTTTATTGTTTTCAAAGCTGTTTTTATTAAGACGAGTTATTGTAATTTAGGTGAACTGGCAGACTATCTACATAGGTGACAAAGCATCAACAAAATTTGTTGACAACTGTACAAGGTACTTATAAAGGGATGTCAACTGTAAAAATGCAGTTTTGTAAATACTGCTAAGTCAAGACATCTCGGCGTTTCTTTTGTGTTGTAGATTTTAGCGTAAATGTGTAATGTAACGTGTATAACGTTATAAATTATAATGACTTCCCAGAACTTTTGCTAATTTATACATTAACTCTTTAGCATATGTGTTCTAAAAAACTTGCGTGTACATCTTTTCAAATGTACTTATTTCCTTTCAGTGAGTTTCATATAGACACTATATCTTTGTAAATGGTTGCGTTGCTAATGATAAATCAATACAGTTATATATTATTCACATTGACAGGTGTGCTATCGTCACCGTAGATCCTGAAACTGGGTCAAGGAGCAAGGACAACCAACCGTTAGCAGAACTGAAAAAGTAAAACGACATTCCTTTTAGTCTCTTTTAATACATGTATATTACAATTTACACCTATAATGACATTTTAATGTTTAAAAACGATTACTTTTCACCTTTTTGTTGTGAATTAACAATAAAGTACTTTCAATATTCAACAGATACTATTATATTTTATGGATTTCATCAGCTGATTTTTTTTTTGATTTTGTTTCTTTTAACTACATGTATTAGTCATTATTAAGTCCAATCATCTAATATCTGATAAAATGAAGAACCTCTTCATTATACTATTCCTGTTACAGATTCCGTTGCATGGAACCATATGGCCCTTTCAAGCCGGTGATGGGCATACATACTGCTGTAGAGACGGAAGGTGATATAAAGATAGGAGATCCTGTGTATGTAGTCAAGAAATAAAACCACGAACAAGTTGCCATTTTATGGATGCCTTCATTTTATTTTATCACTAAATTTCTTCTTATGATAATATGAATATTTTTTTTCATATTATGCAAAATTGACTTTGAAAAAGAAGAGATAACATTTATCTGTTATTCTTTCATAACGAAAATAACAAATTCGATGTATATATGTGTTCTAGGCTTTATGAGAGCCCATCCGCTAGTTATACATGTAGTACAAAAAGCAGCTTTCATTGTAGAGTATTGATCCGGTCATGTCACCTGGCATGCCTTTAAAGGGTCAGTTTTGAAGCACAAAGTTGCGATAATATACCACCCTTCAAATTCTACGGATCATTAGCCACATATATGAATTTTGAGCCATCACTATACGGCGGCGATGAGAACCTCAATGTACAGTAACCGGGGACAATATAAAAAGAAAATAGCCCTTAAAAGGGCTGCTGATGCCAAAGGTCTGCCTTTTCAGCATTCACTCTCTGTGTTAGGGGCTCACGCACCCTAGCATACTTTCTACGTCGTCCCAGTCTACTTTGTAAGGCCCCACCCCTCGGCATTAGTCCGAACATCGGCAGCTAGTCCGCTGGAGACAAGTTTCAGTTATCTTTTCCGCCGTCCTAACTTTTGTCGAGGCCCTGTGCCTTCTCTGCGACGTGCATTTTGAGGGGAAGAGAGAAGTAACGAATACGAACATTTCGTTTTCCTTTTTATACTTCGCCACCAACGTTCGAAGAGGGGTCTCTGAGAATTACTTTCCTGTTACTTTCGTCCTGGTACGTTTCTAGTGTTTTTCTTTTAATGTCGAAAAGGTACAGCTTCTAAAAAAATGAACGGTCAGTACACTAAGAAAACAACATGAAATTGACAGTACTTTGAATATCAGAATACCATTCAGAGTATATAGCATATACATGAAACTAAAATTGCCATTGAGTGCCACAAACTACATGAAGTCCATCAGGTCAAGTTTTACAAATCTGTAATGCACTTTGTTAAAGTTATGCTCCTTTTTTAGTTTAGAAATGTCCTGAAATTTACATTTACTTTAATATTTATTTCAAAGTTTAATAATATTTTATGTTAAAAATATACTTACAATATAGAATTTCACAATTTTATAAACATAGCCAAGTGGACATACAAAAGGGTAGGGTCAACAGTTCTAACAGCATTACCTGAGGTAAGTCAAAATTAAGTTGATATTTCTAAAACTAGTGCAGATATATTGTCACAACAACAATTTTAACGAATAGTGAAGCAGAAACGTTGTTAGACAATGTATAATCCCAACGTTGCTCATAGCTCTTTTCGTCTCGAATATATAATAAAAACTATAATGTATTATTATATGTATGTCACATTCTCGGATTTTCAACTCTTTTTTTTTCTCAATGTCCTTGAGGTTTTCCTATTTCCAGTTCTTATACAAGCATCAGCAGTTGTCAAGTGCTGTGTGGCAGCCTTAAAGATGCCTGTTTTTCAATCTCGGTGTTTTTTTGTTGTTTTTTTATCCGTCGGGATCACTGATTCCAGAACAAAAAGTGTTGAAGTTGACTACTTTTTATAAGTCGGTGCATGGGTTGTTACAGATGTTACACTCTGGAAAGGCTTGGCATTGTTTGTGATAAATCTATTCAATAAAACCCAGTTTTTTTTTATTTTCATTGATCTCAATTGACCTCCCCTATCAAGAATGACATTGTATTTTAACTTCGTACGTTTTGGAAATACACAGTGAGATAGAACATAAATATTGACATAACAAGAACCATTTATGACATTACCTGAACCATTTATGACATTACCTGAACCATTTATGACATTACCTGAACCATTTATGACATTATCTGAACCATTTATGACATTACCTGAACCATTTATGACATTACCTGAACCATTTATGACATTACCTGAACCATTTATGACATTACCTGAACCATTTAAGACATTACCTGAACCATTTAAGACATTACTTGAATAATTTATGACATTACATGAACCATTTATGACATTACATGAACCATTTATGACATTATCTGAACCATTTATGAAATTATCTGAACCATTTATGACATTACCTGAACCATTTATGACATTACTTGAACCATTTATGACATTACCTGAACGATTTATGACATTACTTTAATCATTGATTTTTAACGACCGTCATATTCAATTCCCGTGTAATATGGCTACATTGTGTTCCTTATAATTATATTTATCGGAAGTCTAAATCAAAGCACAGAAGGCGCTGAATTTCTTTGGGTCTCAGAATGTCAGAAAGGTAAAGGTTGTGAGATTATTAACCAGTTAGTGTTTGTTTTGTGCCACCAATGCTGTTTCCAGTGCTATAACTGTAGTAAATTGGTAATAAGACTAATTGCAACACTGGTATTCAATTCAATGTTTTTTTTGGCTTAAAAAACCGTTATTAGTTTCGATATATTTTGTTCACGGTAAACCTGTTGTTTAACACTGATGTAAATAATCATGGAGCTTAATATAAGCATGTATATCTATAAAGAATAACACAATATTAAAAATCTTCGAGCATTTGGGAACTATTTTTCCCCCGAGGAAGCTTGAAAATAAATGCGCCTGTGATTTGACAATCTTTATGCAGTGATCTCCCCTTAATTTTTCGGCGTTAGTGTTCATATAAAGGGAAGTAACCGCTTCGAGGAGTTTGGACTACTTTCGGTTTCGCTACCATTTTTTTTGACGACCCAAACAAATAAAAACGTCTACAGTCATACAATGCGTCATTTTGGGCAAATGAATATAATAACATATTGAAAGTGACATTATGCTTATTCAAGGATATATAGTCAGCGAACAGTAGAAAGTAGAAATAAGTTTATATTTTGCCAAATTTCCTTACAATTCACATGGCTTAATCAAATTTCTGTAAAAATCCATCGGAATTTATAAAAAGAGTGGGGTAGATTTATATTTTATCCTTAACATTTGAGAGTATCAACTGTTGGTCAATCGCCATTATATCAGTCAATCGTGTGAGTCAATTCAGCTTAAAATGAGCATAATGTCAAATGGAAGTCTTTCAGTAAAGATGTGTTGCTTTATTTATACATTTAAAATGTATAATCAGTTCAATAAAAACAAACGCTTTTCTTAAGCTTTCGACGTTTAGTCTTCTTCAGAAAAAATTGACGTTTATAACATAACAAATGACAAATGACGCAACGTCCGTTTAACTATACGCTAAACACAACGTGACGTTAACGCGGGAATAAAACTTTGTCAAATAAATACAGAATCTTTCATGAATATAAATACAGCAATATACAATAAATTACACATATAATATGGATCTGCACATGTGATACAAAAATTCTCATAATTAATAATAATAAAAAAAACCTTGATATGAGAAAAAACATACTACATGTATATGTATACCGGCTCAATAATGACAAAGTTATATATTGTACAAAACTTTTGCATTCATGCCATAAGGAGATAATGTGTTAAGCTTATGAATCCAGTATGATTCTTATAATAAGCGTTCCATATCATCGGAGACAATCTCTATGGGCATTAATTTAAAATCCTTAATACAATGATTAGTTTTATTGAAGTGTGTAGCGACATTGGTTCAAAATAACGGATCGGAAAAATTGTTGATATCAAACCTATGGCTATTCATGCGTTTAGACACTTGTTGCTTTGTTTGACCAACATATTGCTCTTTACATTTATCACAAGTGACAAGATATATAACATTTTTCGTAGAACAATCAGTATTGTTATTTACATGATAATTCTTACCAGGAATATTAGTACTACTAAATATATTGCTTTCAATAATAGAGCTGCAATGTGTACATCTACTTCTATTACATTTGGATGAACATTTCACATTTTTGTTATTAGACCTAACATTAGAATTAACGAGAATGTCTTTTAGATTTTTAGGTCTTTTAAATGCAACCAAAGGTTTACTTTCATGAAGCTTTTGCACAGAACATTTACTTAAAAGTTGAAGTAAATCCCAATACTTTTTAATGATATTACTAATATTAGGTAAAGTTGGGTTATACTCAACAACAAAGGGAATTACACTGCCATCACTTGTTTTGTTGTTAGTGCACAGGGCCTCATCTTGTGTTAGACATGAAACCTTACTAAGTGCAGTATCAATAACATTGATAGGATAATTTCTTTCTTTGAATTCTGTAAAGAATCGTTGAAAACATTATCGTCAGAAATGATACGGCGATAACGTTTTCCTTGACTGTACGGAATACCATTTTTACAAGACACTGGGTGACAGGAAGAGTATTCTAAATACTGATGATTATCTGTCTCTTTAACATGTATATCAGTATGTATAATATTGTTTTCGTCTAAAGAAACGTTTACATCTAAAAATGATACGAGAGATTTAGACACGTTTTTTTTTTACATTTAAAATGAGAACACTTAGTGTTAAGGCAGCTTATATGCTACATTCATGCGCAACATATCCAAAACAAAGAATGTTGTGTTAATCAGACTGTTTTAAGGACCGTAGTTTCGACAATCACTTCAAATACATGATACATGGAATTTATGTCTTGTTCATGGTTTCTTTAATGTTAAACAAATTAAGTAACTTTAAAGAGTTTATAAGGTATCAAGCAGCCAAGTATTTAAGTAAAATAAATTAATAAAGCAACTAAAGGCCAACTTGTAATAGTGACAATAAGACTTGCAATCCCGCACCTCGTTGACCAAACTAATCTTCTCTTATATTCGTTATCATCTTCAGCTTCCTTTGCCTGAAAAATATCATTGTATATGCATTAAAAAAATCTTTCCTCATGTGTTAAAAGACAAGTATATTTGATATGACAAATATTGAGAATTAGATTTGAGTGTCTGTGATATGTAACAATGTAAAAGTATAAATAATTATTGCTGCTTTTACAGTTACATGTACTTAGTTAAGTAAAAGAAAACCAATCTGAGTTTGGTATCAGATAATATATAAAAATAAACAATTATCTGCTGATGACATTATTTCATATAAACTAAATACAATAAAGAAAAAAAAGAATCCCTAAAGAAAGTCAAAAGCGGCAAAAAGTCGTAGTTTATAACTATGACAAAGCATGGCTGTATAGAATCGTTACAAAATGAACTTCAGTTTTTATAAAATATAAATAAAGTAAAAGGATCGTAAATAAAATTCACTATTACATTTATTAGTGTTGATAATCCTTTAAACGATTGGTACTATGGCAACAATAATAAAGTGTTTTCTCATCCCAAACTGTACCATGGAATATATGAGCCGTGTCATGACAAAACCAACGTAATGCGTTTGCGACCAGCATGGATCCAGACCAACCTGCGCATCCGCGCAGTGTGATCAGGAACCATGCTGTTTGCTATCAGTATCTCTACTTGTAATAAAGTTGGTAAGCGAACAGCATGGATCCTGATCAGACTGCGCGGATGCGCAGGCTTGTCTGCATCCATGCTGGTCGCAAACGCATTATGTTGGTTTTGTCGTGACGCGGCTCATATCTTCTTTCAGTATGACCTCCGGAAGATATATTCTTTATAGGAATATATAGGAATATAGGATTTTTGAAAAATGATGAAGAATGGCTAAAAGAATTGCAGAAAGAAGGTTGTAAGGAAAAAAAATTCTCAGAGCGCATTCATTTCTAATCGGCCTGTTGTTTTTTTAATGTATCATTTTTCCTTTGATTCATACGAACGCTTTTAAGCATTTGTTTGCCAAAATGACAAATTGTTATACGCAAGACGTCGTCTGCTTACTGCCTTTCATACTATTAATAGGATTTCAATATTAACACGGATGTTCCTGACTCAGTACTGGTGGCAAAGGTTAATCATTTCCGGTTCAAACTGGTTCAGAGTTTACAAACACGAGGCTTAGTCGTACATACTATTGGATCGGCATTATTATATACATACCTGGCATGCGAATGATAGAGCACAGCATCCAAGAAGAAAGCAGCCGCAACATATGACAACCCAGGCAAGTATCTCCGCCTGTACTCTTGTCAAATGAAATCGTTTCTCTTCATGTTTGTCTTTGTTCAATTTTGGCTGTGTATCAACCTTTAATGTTTGGATATAATTACATTTATAGCATCAACTACTTTTAAATGTCTATTTATCGAAAATGTTTTCTTGATTGTCTATAACGTATCAAAAGTAATATCTATCATCTTTGCTTATCTCGCCTACCTTTGCGTCCATATAAAATGCCTTACTTGAAAATTTCAGCCAAGTATTCATGCTAGTTATATGTTAATAAAGAAAAAATGGGAACTACTACATGTACTCATGACTAGAATTTAACAAGATACCATCTAAACAAAAAACAATATTTAAAATGTACCGTTTTTTAACTAAAAAACCTTTGAAATTAAAATGCGTACAGCTTTGTCTTGTGTTTCTTCGCTCGCAACGTCCCTATATGCCTCTTTTTCACTCGCAATTCCTTCGTGTACGTGTACTTCTGTTTCACTCGTCATTTCTTTGAGTATATCTTTTTCTTCTTGTACTTTAATTAAAACATATACTTTCTTTAAACTTCTTTAAGCATTCAAATCTAGACTAGACATTCTTGAGGTGACCAAAAGATTATAAATTATCTCGCCGACCAAAAGTAGGCCTTAACTGTTGTGAAAATAAAATTCATGTATATGTACAACATGTAAGCATTTAAAATAAGAAAACTAAATACCTGGAAAGTGCTTTTGTGAAAGCATATAAATTAAGGAAGGTACATTTAAAAAAAAAATATGATGCTTATATTGATAAATGTTCTCAGTATACAAACATATATGGGCTATGTAATGTTTACAACAAGTCGAGTCTTGCCGGTAATATGTGATCGAGAGAAAATCCTTAATCATGGTATTATTATATACTAAAAAGAAAAAATATATTTTTAATTATCAAACCAAATAATACACAAGAATTGATTGTCTATATTTGGACATATCCTTCAATTTATTTAACACACTAATTTGATTGAACCTTTTGAAAAATTTTATCTAACATTTTATGTTAAGTAGAACAAAGTAAGCCAACTGAATTAATTAAAAATATATTTAACAACTTTTCAATATAAGCAAACCAAAGTAATTGTTACAGGAATTCAATATTTGAAATATTTCATTGATTTATTTAATTCGTAAATTTATATGTGATAAAGTATAACTTACCTGGCATTTCTTTAACATTTTACGCCTATTAAGTAAAATATTTTAACTCTGTAATATGTAACTTTATATGTCAATCACTGATTTCCCCCAATTTCCTGTTTATTTGAAAGTCCGTCTGATATCATGCACGTTTATTCGTTAATATATTGTTTATTTACTATATTGTCGAACATGCAAACCTTTTCATTTTATATGAAACGATATTTTACATCTAAGTCTTACATAGTAAAGTTTAAAGATCCTGTAACACACAATTTTGTTATGGTTTTAGATCATAAATATGATGTTCAAATGAAGATTTATCAATATTGTATGTTCCAAAAAACATTATTTATAAAGATATGACCGAATTCAACATTTCATGTAAATAAAGGGAGGTAATATAAAAATATTTTATTAAAGTTTAAAAAGTTTTCCAAATTAAGAATGAAATTTTCATATATTTAAATGATTACATCGATGATATGCAGAAATATTTGAAAGTACAATTTTGCATTTTCTTCGATGTTGAAATATTGTTTGTTTGCCATAATTATGGTAACATGATATGAAATTTTTCACTTAGTGTGGTTATACCACTTGGGATCACAATACAGGATCTTTAATCTGGTTTTCTTTTTCATTGGACTTAGTAGTGCCCTATTTTTAAATATTTGACCCTTTATTTAAAAGTTTTAATTGTTTGTTTTAGAATATTTGTTATTCTTACACTGTACAAGAGAACACTGGAATTTTAATTTAGAAAATCTCATGATAGGTCCTCTTGGAGTTCCGGGGTTGGGTTCTTTTAATATTTATCCGTTTTGGGAAAGGCCATAAGGTTAGTTTAAAATCGTTGATAAGTAAAAACAATTAATCTATATTCATATATAAACAATAAACTGCAAATTCTTCAAATTTTCTTTAATATACCCTAATAATAATGTTGCTCATGTGAAACTCATGAACAATGGTGTAAACAAAGATCAAATCTATTTTTTTATAACGATAGCGTAGATAAAAAAGAAATTTATCAGCAAGACTTTCTTGTTCTTCATATGTTTACATTTTATTCGTAAAATGAGTATGCACTTGTCGTGAATTAGGATGTATAGGATGCCGTGTGGAGGCTGTAAAAAGTCGCCCCGTACATAAATCAGAGATGAAATATTTAAATTCTGATCCTTAAAGATCGTTCAGCACGACATTATTGTTGTGCTTGTGGTACTTTTAGTGTTAACTTTTCGGCATTTTCTAGTTGGGTGGTTTGAATATTCCTACTTGAATAATGTTGAATCACCCTTAGGATATGTTGCCTGCTTTTTAATTTTGTCTTTTGACGTCTTATCTGTAATATGCAGGCTTCATAACCTCTGACCCCCTTTTAAAATTTCATTTTATTTAGTTCACATAGTTTGCATACTGCTGTAGAGACGGAGGTTGTTAAAAGCATAGGATACTAGAAATACAACCACGAACAAGTAGCCATTATACAGATGCCTTCATTTTATTTTTATGAATATTTTACATATTACGCAAAATTAGCAACCCTTTTTGTTATTCTTTCATAACAATCATAACGAATTTAAATATTTCATTTTCCTTTTTTACTCCGCCACAACTTTTGGAGAAGGATTTCTTAGAATCACTATAGGCCTATGTTCACGTCCTGAATGTCTAATATGTCATATTCTCGGACCATAATGTGTGGCAGCCTTAAAAACATGCCAGTTTTTCAATCTCGGCGTTGCATTTATTTTTATTAGTCGGGGTCACTAATTTCCAACCGGTATCAAGCCGGTTCCAGGGCCGTTACAGATGTTGTACTTTAGAAAGGCTTACCATTGTCCCTTTAAAACCAAGCAAGGCGTTGTTATATTCATTGACCTGCAGGGACCTCTCCGTTCCAAAATGTTTTGCATTTTAATTTAACTCTTTTTGAGTTTTCATGTTAAAAATAAAAGCCGTTAAATTGTTCTGATTTCCATGCTTTTGCTCAAATCAATTTCGATTTAATCTGGCTATCCTAACACATGGTGTTCTGTATTTTGTTGATGGAAAGTCAAAGCCATCGCAACAGTCTAATAATCTGCCATTTCAACAAATTCACAATAGCATATTAAATAAACTGTTTTATATTTATTTATTTCCATTGTAAACTTAATCAAGATATATTGCTTTTTAGAAAAAGTCTTGATATACATTAAAATTGAGTTCGTTCAGTGTTTTAGTGGATATTTCATCCAACACATAAACTCCCTTAAGGGCCCCACAGATTAGGAACGCAGCTACCAGCAGCCAAGGTATTCATTACGAGGCTTCAGCAGCTAAGGTTAACATGTTACAATATTCTAAAACAAAACATTTACACTGTAATCTATCAAAGAATTTTTTTATTGAGGATAGTGAAAAATTGGACAAAAATGGATGAGAATGACAACGAGGTATGTTTAAACGTTATTATTTAGATTTCTTTTTATTTGTTGTAATATTAGTTTTTACAAATTATAATAATTATAAAAAGCATCGCATATAAACTTTGCAGAGGCAAATTTTATTGAAGAATCATTGATAAATATAAGTGATGGATACCACGTCACAAAAATTAAAATTCTGCAATATGGAAACAGTTTTTGAATGGATACCACGTTCAACTGTTCAAAACACACAACAGCGATGGATATACATCGCGTTGTTATTGACCGTTCATAATGGACGGGACATGACGGATACCACGTCAAATATGCTACAATACGAATCAGTATGTTATTAGATTCAAAGTCAATTAATTGCCAAAAATTTTGTTTTGTTAGCGATGGAAATACATCGCGTTATGGTAAATTTTTCATATGGTCGTCGAAAAGACGGATAACACGTCAAATTAGCCTACATATCGAACAACTATGGTTTTACGTACAAATTAAGTTGGTAATAGATGGATATACATCATATAATTTCTTAAAATAACGATATTTAAATTTGTACGATATTATTGCACTTGTTGCTTAATGATAGATATCTATCCATTGTCAGTCAGTTTAGACTTGACATCGAAAATGAATTTATATCAAACATTTTTATTAGACCGAAAAAAGATGGACGCATTAGAATTATTTTAAATCTCAAGCAATTTAATACTAACTATGTAGATAAATCACATTTTAAAATGGAAACTTTACAATCAGCATTGTGTTTAATGAGGAAGGACTGTTACTTGGCTTCGGTCGATTTGTCGGATGCATTTTATTCTATTAGTATAAGGGAAAGCGATCGGAAATATTTCCGTTTTTTCTTTGACGGAATTAAGTATCAATTTACCGCGCTGGTTATGGGTTATTCCCTCAGTCCAAAAATCTGGACAAAAGTTTTAAACACAGTGTTCGCACACCTACAAGCACTTGGCCACATTAGCGTATATTTTATAGATGATTCATGTTTAATGGGAGACTCTTTTCAAACTTGTTCAAAGAATGTTTTAGATACAGTAAAATTAATGGACAGTTTGGGACTTACGATAAATGAATCAAAGTCGGTAATTATACCATGCAAAAAGTTGGTTTTCTTAGGGTTCATACTCTGCTCTGAGACTATGACAGTGCGATTAACAGAAGAAAAGCAAGATGACATCATTAACATTTGTTGTGATTTTTTACGAAAAAAGAGGATAACTATACGCGAGTATGCAAAACTAATAGGAAAAATGACATCCGCATCACCGGGGGTCCGGTACGCCACTTTGTATATTAGACCGTTAGAAAAGATTAAAGAGAAACAACTCAAAATTAATTCTGGAAATTTTGACTCATTTATGTCTATTCCAAATACGTTATTTGATACCATTCAATGGTGGATTGACAACCTACGGACACCTCCAACAATAAATATTTATACAGACGCTTCATTAAAAATGTATGGAGCTCATGATAAAACCAATAATCTGAATACCCAAGGATACTGGTCAGTTGACATATAAATGTTTAAGAACTGAAAGCATGCGAAATTGGACTAAAGACATTTTGTAAAAATATCACAAATACACATGTCCGTCTTCACACTGATAATACAGCTAGTTGTACATATATAAATCGTTTGGGTGGAAAAATAAAAAAAAATAGATTGTATTGTGCGACGAATTTGGTTTTGGTGCATTGAAAAGAAAATACATTTATCCGCGTGTCACGTGCCTGGACTGCCGAATACACAGGCAGACGGTTAAAGCAGAAATGGAAACGACGACTTAGAATGGTCATTAAGTGACACAATTTTTCAAAAACTAAAAATGAAATTTCCGCGATTAGAAATTGATTTATTTGCTTCAAGACTTAATGCAAAATTGCCAAAATATGTAACTAGATATCCAGAACATAAGGCATTTGCTGTTAATGCTTTTACAATTTCTTGGAATAAATGTTTATTCTACATGTTTCCTCCTTTCAGCCTGATGTCGCGCATATTACAAAAAATCGAAGAGGACAAAACAGAGACAGTAATAATTGCCCCACTCTGGACAACACAGGCGTGGTGGCCAATTTTAACAGAATTAATACACGGTCCATGCTAGATATTACCAAAATCTCAAGAAATATTGAGCTTGGTACACAAACCAGGAATAAAACATCCTTTAACAAAAATGACACTAGTGGCTTTCTGTATATCAGGAAAGCTTTACGAAAGCGGGGGTACCGAAACAAACAAGAAAAATCATTATTGAATCATGGAGAATGGGCACGCGTAAACAATATGACTCGTATATCAAAAGACGGTTACATTATTGTAAAGGGGAGACAAATACCTTTGCACCGCATAGGTTTCTTAGAGTATCTTTACGAACAGGGTTTAAGTTACACAGCTATTGGAACAGCCAGATCAGCAATTTGTTGTTTTGTTCGACTGACGGGTAACATTGATATAAAGAATAATGAGTTAATTACTAGATTTATGAAAGGTTTTTTCCAATTAACACCGGCACTGCCACGGTTCACATCCACATGGGACGTTAAAACTGTTATAAATTATCTGCTAAGGGCTCACACGCCCGCCCGCTTCCACCCGATAAAATTGCTCCAAAATATATACACGTAACTTTCTCTAAAAAATGAATACCTTGGATGCTGGTAGCTGCGTTCCTAATCCGCGTGAGCCCTAAGCTTAAGGGAGTTTTGTGTCGGATGAAATTATGATCAACCTTCGCCTTACTTCTACGAAGGTAAGTCTAGCTTAATCATTAAAATATGTTACATTCATGAAAACTATATTCAAAACAAAGGATTTGTGTATAACAGGCTGTTTTACGACCGTAGTTGCGAAAATCACTTTAGGTACAGAAACAAAATTATGATATTGTTAATTGTTACTTCAATCTTAAACCAATTTACTACCTTATAACAGTTGGAACCGTATGAAGAAGCTCTATGGTCAAGTCAAATACGCTAATAAAGCAATTAGAGGCCGAATTCCTGTAATTCCAAACTTATCTTCTCTCGTATTCTTCATCATCATCAGCAACCCTTGCCTGAACAACTCTTTCATTATTTGCAGAAAGATATATACAATTAAAGGCACTTTCAGAATTTGAAATTTAATCATTTAATTACCTACCCCAACTTCAAAAAATATAATCATTAATTGCACTTAAATAATATACAATTACACAACTCTGCATGCTGCTAACAATGTTAGTGACGGGCTGTCTATATGACAAAGCATTAATGAGTGGCATTTATAGTAAACAAAATGTAAAAGACTTATAATGCATGTAATTTAAACTCACTAAAATATTTGTTCTTGCTGGTGATCCACTTACACAACGGTCACCATGACAACACTTGTTTTTTAGCTCACCTGAGCACGAAGTGCTCAAAGGTGAGCTTTTGTCATCACTCTGCGTCCGTCGTGCGTCGTGCGTCGTGCGTCGTGCGTCCTTCAAAAAATGGCGTCAAACTTTTCAAACAACATCTCCTCCTAAACTACATGGCCAATTGCAACCAAACTTTACAGAAATGATCCTTAGGTGGACCCCTTTCAAAGTTGTTCAAAAATTTAAATTCCATTAAAAACTCTGGTTGCCATGGCAACCATTAAGAAAAACTTAAAAAATCTTCTTCTAAAAAACCGTAAGAGCTAGAGCTTAGATATTTGGCATGAAACATCTTCTAATGAGTGCCTACCAAGTTTGTTCAAATCAAAGCCCTAGGGTCAAAATTGGCCCCGCCCCAGGGGGTCATTGATTTTCCCTATATGCATATAGTAAAAACTTAAAAAATCTTCTTTTAAAGAACTCAAAGAGCTAGAGCTAAGATATTTAGCATGAAACATGTTCTAATGGGTGTCTACCAAGTTTGTTCAAATAAAAGCCCTGGGGTCAAAATTGGCTCCGCCCCGGGGGTCATTGATTTTCCTTATATGTGTATAGCAAAAACTTAAAAAAATCTTCTTTAAAAAAACCCCAAATAGCTGGAGTTTAGCTATTAAGCATGAAACATCTTCTAGTGAGTGTCTACAAAGTTTGTTCAAATCAAAGCCCTAGGGTCAAAATTGGCCCCGCCCCGGGGGTCATTGATTTTCCTTATATGACTGTGTATAGCAAAAACTTAAAAATCTTCTTTGAAAAAACCCAGATAGCTAGTGTTTAGATATAAAGCATGAAACATTTTCTAGTGAGTGTCTACCAAGTTTGTTCAAATAAAAGCCCTAGGGTCAAAATTGGCCCCGCCCCAGGGTGTCTTTGATTTTCCCTATATGCATATAGTTAAAACTTAAAAATTCTTCTTTTAAAGAACCCAAAGAGCTAGAGCTAAGATATTTAGCATGAAACATCTTCTAATGAGTGTCTACAAAGTTTGTTCAAATAAAAGCCCTAGGGTCAAAATTGGCCCTGCGCCCGGGGGTCATTGATTTTCCCTATGTGCATATAGTAAAAACTTAAAAAATCTTCTTTTAAAGAACTCAAAGAGCTAGAGCTAAGATATTTAGCATGAAACATGTTCTCATGGGTGTCTACCAAGTTTGTTCAAATAAAAGCCCTGGGGTCAAAATTGGCCCCGCCCCGGGGGTCATTCATTAGCTTGACTTTTTTTTTTTTAGATATATACATATTATATATATACACATATATATTTAATATCTATATATATATATATAAAATATATATAATATATATAAATATATTTATATTATATATGTATATAGATATATATATATATACATATATATAAACATATTATGATATATATATATATATTATATATATACACATATATATTTAATATTATATATATATATATAATTATAAATATATATATATATATATATATATATATATATATATATAATATATATACATATTATGATATATATATATATATATATATATATATATATATATATACATGCATACATATACAACCAAATTTGTTCAAATAAAAGCCCTGGGGTTTAAACTGGCCCCGCTACAGGGGCCTATATACAGGTGAGCGACTTTGGGCCATCATGGCCCTCTTGTTTTTTGGAAATTTCACATCCCTAAATTGTACCACGGAAAAGATTCCAAGTGGCATTTGGAAGTTATTCCGAAGAATCACTTCAAAACAAGATTTTTTTTGAAAGAACGATCAACTAGAATGCTAAAACGACCTGTTGTATTGAGCTAAATGTTATCTGCTTGTTGCCTTGAACAATAATTAAAGGAAACTGAGAAATGGATTGGCAGCAAATACATACATATAACATAAAATATTCGGAAGTAAGTACAAACCTGGCTACACAATAGAGTATTGCATCCGGATATACAAATGTATATCCAGGCAAGTATCTCTGCCTGTACTCTTGTCAAATCAAGGCCGTGTTTTATTTGTTAAATATTTGAACTGAGTCAAATTATTGAACACACTGATGAATTGACCCGTTTGTAAATACATCTTTTAAAGAAAATCTGATAATGTGTATCCAAATATATCATTGAAAATAAAAGTTAGCTAACCAATTCTATTTTTTAAAGAAATAATAAAAACATCTTTGATAAACGTTTCAATGTAAGCGTGTTGCATACGAAAAGAATTGTTGTAGGAGTTAATATTTGAATAATTAAATTGATATAAGTAGATATGATAAAGTTAACATTTCCTTACTTTTCTTTAATGTTTTACGCCTATCAAGTAAAATAATTAAATAATGTGATATGTAACTAATTATGTCAACAACTGATTTCCTCCAATTTCCTGTTTATATGAGAGTTCGTCTGACAATATGCACGTTTCTTCGTTAATGTATTGTTATTTGCTAAATATTGATAAACAATTTTCACATCTTAGATTTATATATTTAAGTTAAATCTTGTTCCTTTAATCATTTGTTAGAATGGTTAGCTTATAGTACCGTATGAATTACTTAACCATTTTCAAAAGTTAGACATTGTGGTCGTGCGCGATTGCCAGGCTCTATATTGATGGCATCTTTCACTGTATAGAGATCACTGACAATATAGCATCTCGCGGTAGCTCCTTTCTATCATTTTATTAAAGTGACATTATGCTCATTTTTTTTCATGGTCAAGTTGATCTGAATTGACTATTTATTTCCAATATATTTAAAAAAACTGTTATAATGGGGACTAACCAACAGTTGATATCGGAAATGTTTAGGATAAATACAAATTTCCCAAAAATGCAAAAAGTGTGACCCGCTCTTTTGATAAGTTGAACGTATGGATATTTTCAGGAATTTCGTTGGTCCACGTGAGTAATAAATCGATCATGCGAATTGAAATGAATTAACTTTCAGCTGTTCACCCACTATATACTCTATATACACTATGGTGTGTAAAATGTCACTTAAAGACAATCTGTAATTTAGGTAAACTGAAAAACTACAGGTGACAACATTAACATAAATTGTGAGCAACAGAAAAAGTACATTCTCTTTTATAGAAAAAAGCAAACTTAATGACTGTCAATGTTTAATATTTTATTTAATTTTACACCTGTGAAATTCATAAATATTAGTATAAGCAAAAAATATCAAATCTATTTTTTGTGGTGACAATCGCATGGATTTAAAAGAATTTATCAGCAAGACTTTTATATTTTCTTGATTTTTTTTTTTTGTGTGTTTTTATTTTATTTAAAAATGATAATGTATGTGTCCTGTCTTAGAAAGTATTTACAACAATTAAACTTCCATATATCTTATGATAGTTGCGCTATTAACGGTTAGTATGTACATCTAAATAAAATTTAATAACTACTATTCAAATCAGTTCTTTATTTGCATTAAACATTTACAATGTTTGTAGAAACTATACAAAATACATGAGTAGTTTATGTAGTTACTCCAAGACAAGAGTGATATACACAGGTATCAATATATATACTAATGAATAAAATGAATTCAACATTTGTCAATTAAATGATATTGTTTAAAATAATTTTCTGACTTCAAGATAATTCAGACATGCAGGTTAAAAAAATCTCAGCCAATTTCTATTTTATTTAGATAACAAAATTTACAGATACACTGAACAAGATCATAACAAGTGTAATTTCAATAGAGCAATTGTAAATTTATTGTTATACAATTTAGGTGGGGTTCAATTTCGAAATTTATATTGAAAAAGCATACAACTTTAGACTTGCGATGGTATCATTGTTATTGATATGAACACTGAAATTGAATGCAAATACATTTTGTATGGTATAAACAAAAGAAAACAAAACTGAAAATGGCAGTGGTATTCTACAACGAGATAAAAGTTTTTGAAAATCAAACATAAAGCAATGATGAACAATGATGTTAAAGATGGCACATAGGTCTGAACAAATATAATTGGAGTTTCGATGCTCAGAAAAACACTGACTAACTGCTTTATTTTCATCAAAACCATCTGCAATATCAAGTGTAGAGCGCTAACAAAATTACTCCAGGCCATACGACAATATTAAATATTAGACCTGCAATTCCCAGCCATGTGGACCAAACTAACCTCTTTTCATATTCTTCATCATCATCGGCAACCTTTGCCTACAACAAAATATGACGTCATAGTTAATAAATCTATTTTCTCCTTCGTAATTTGACATTCCAAACGAGTACTCCTTTCATGAACATAGTTGAAAAATAGAGACTTACAGGTAGAAGAATTTTCTTGTATTTAAACACGTTGTGCCAAGACGTCCTATTGAAAAAATATTATGTCATTGATATAACACCAGCGCAAATATGTTTAGCAGCTAAAAACATTTTTTAAAAATCAGTGAAATTTGCTAGAAACATTAACATTAATTCAATTTGCGTTTTTTAAACATATTTACCCTATTTCATCAGATGAAGACCATTAGCAATTTCAATATTATATATTAGGCTTTTTTTTCAAAGTGTTTGAAACGTTCATTGATTATGCGTGTATTCATTTAAATTTTGATGTAAGAGCAAAAATGTTTAATTGGACTAAATGCAAATATATGCAAGACATCACAAAAGAGTAATTCCTTAACCTTCAGAAAATTTTGAATAAACTCAGCACCCATTTATGGAATTTTCAAACATAAAATTTTAGGGGCAGCAAGATAAAAAAGAATTAGGCAATCAACATTATATAGAGCCTTGCAATAATGGAAATGACTTATCACTTTCAATTCAAGCACATTTAGGGTAAATCAATACGAACGAACGTATCCATAATGTTACAATTCTTTGTATCTGTAAAACTACAAACCTGGCATGCACACAACAGAGCATAAGCTCCAAGAGGCCAACAACAGCAACAAATGGAAATCCAGGCGACTATTTCTGCCTGCACTCTGGTGAAGTGAAATCGTTTCTTACGCTTCTTAGGTTTAACGATGTTCAATTTTGGTTGTGTTACAACCTAAAAATAATGTTAACAAGGAGCAGTTTGAATGCACATACAATTACAGGATACATGTACACTGAAAGGCAGCAACTTTAGATTATTTGGTATACTCTTAGACGTATTAATTAGGTTTACAAGTCGTAAAACTTCTTTTGGTGCATATGATGATTATCAATAAAGAATTTAAAACAAAACTACGTAATTCATGTATATTTTAAAAGTGCTAACACAAAATTGCTAGTGATATTTGTATATGCAAATCTTTAAGTGAACAAAGTTAGTGTAATATGAAATCAGATGGTGTAAAATTTAACGTTTATGATATTTAATACCAAACGACTAGTCATGCTATTGAAATGTTCTGTCTAAATGTCTCAAACAAACAAAGTTATAAATATTACGATGTAAACTATAAGCAAGCGAATTCACGATGGCACAAAGGTGACATGTGTGTTTTTTTATTTATCTCGTGCGCACGAGATACTATGTCGTGGCCACGAGTTACTAAGTCGTGGTCACGAGATAGCTAAGTCGTGACCACGAGATACTATGCCGTGGTTACGAGTAACTAAGTTGTGGCCACGAGATAGCTAAATCGTGGCCACGAGATACTATGCAGTGGCCACGAGTTACTAGTACTAAGTTGTGGCCACGAGATAGCTTAGTCGTGGCCACGACATGCTATGTCGTTGCCACGAGATACTAAGTCGTGGGGACGAAATAACTAAGTCGTGACCACGAGATAATTAACCAATCAGAATACACTATATATATTATGAAATTTTTAAACTTAACAACTTACTTTTTACATGCAACATTTATCTTTGAATATACTGAAGATATTCACTTTGAACTTGTCTTCAGGATCATATTAGAAAGTCACCTTCCAAGGCCCATCAGACATTAATTTTGACTATAGCCCTTTGTTGGGACAATTTTGGGATCGAATTTGTCAGTTTGTACGTACTACGGCCTGTAAACCTTGTTTATACGATAACATGAGAAGGAATAAGTCCTGGTTTATTTTATTTTGAAGGGACATTGCCAATAGACAGTAGATAGCCTATAAGGTAAAATCATAGTCTGATGAATAATTAAGAAGGGATAAGCCATGGTTATATAACCCAGAAAGATCATTGCACCTGATCAGTGGATGACATCTAATAATTTCGAGGTCATTGGGTCAAAAATTAGGGTCACAGTGACGCTAAATGTAAAATTATTGACCAGTCAATAAGTTGTATAAATGGCACTTTTACAGGCTGGTGAAGTAGGGGCATACTTGACATAGTATCTCGTGGCCACGACATAGTATCTCGTGTCCACGACCTAGCTATCTCGTGGCCACGACTGAGTAACTCCTAGCCACGATATACTATGTCGTGACCGCGACATGGTATCTCGTGCGCACGAGATAAATGAAAACACACACATGTCACCTTTGTGCCACCGTACAAATCCCTTATTTTCACCTGTAGAATCGTAAAAATTTAAGACCCTTATAAATTGGTATATGAAGATAACAAACCACTTTATCTCGTGACACATCTTGTAGTAACACGTCTTCACTCGCAACTTCTGCATGCACCTCTTTTTCGTTTGTCGCTTCTTCTTTTTCTGGAATTACGTAACTAAATTTGTTTATCCTTGTCATCGACTATAGCATGGAAATCTTAACATAATAACAAATCCTGCTAGTGGCAACATATTCTAGCCATGTTATCAGGGAGACCAAGATAGCCAGCAAATCAGCGACGTCTTAATATGGTCGGTACTTTTGTCAGTAAAAATTTTGCAATTTTCTGTTAAAAGGATGAACATTGTTGTCCAGACTGAAATATACACAACAATTTACTTAAACCGGGGTAAATGATGGTCACTTTCTGCATATATCCTTATAACACTTTCCAGTATCGTCCATGAACAGGCTCAATCAAACCGAGCCTGCAACATTTTCAATTTTTCGTTTAGTGCTTTCTTTAGAGGTTCCTTATTTCGCTCTATTTTTGTCATGGGTCGATAGAGGTAAGGAGCGGACAAGAAAAACTATAGACATTTATTCAAGTAAAATACACTATGTCTGTACTATCACAATTTACTAATTGACGTTTGATGTGTGAAGTTTATGTTTAATGAGGATCTATCCGCCCGTGCAGAGCACAAAAGCAGCTTTCGCTGTCGAGTACGGATCCCGGGCATGTCACCAGTCCCTAGGGCTAGGGCATGGGACGCCGAGGCAGGGCGTTTATAAACCAAGGAGCATGGCAAAATAAATTGCGTTTGCATAGGTCTACTGTACGTATGCCAAATATCTATAAGCTCTATGATTTGTAGTTTTAGGAAGACAATTTAAATTGGTTTTCCTGTTAATATATAAAACACTAAGTTACTAAGGACCAACCTGTAGGCCAAAATTAATATTGTACTACGAGGTGAAGTTACAAGGCAAATATCTAAGAATTTGTAATCTACTTGTACATCAGAGGCCCTGATCCGGGAGTTACCATAAAGAGCCGCATATTTCCAAGAAGGAGTAGGGTGAGAGGTTGACATTTTACTAGTTTATCAAGGGGGGGGGGGTCATGACTTAATTTGTTTTGCAGATTTCCAATAGTTTTTGATTGTTTTCTTTTTACTAAAAATGGTAAGTGGTGAAACCTCAGAGGGGTTTCCCACTGAATTATCAAAGGCACAAGACCCCCGAAACCCCCGTCCTTCCTCACTCAAATCTGAGCTCTTTGTGTTAAGATGAGTAGCTATCACTTTTTGTATTTTGTTAGTGGGTGCATTACAAATGAACGACGATAACCACGGCATAATTAAGTGTACCATGCATTGCGCTACACTGAACTGTCATTCAGTCAACTTTTAATAAGATATAGGCATCATGGCCTCAACAGAAGTAATGAAACAAGTAAGTTACGAGGATATAACACTTGCTTGAGCGGCATCTTGGAATCCTGAGATGTAGCCTAACCAGTGTTATACCCCGGTAACTGACGACTTTCATATACATGTATTATAACTGTTTTATCGCAATTTCATTATTTTTTGTAACAGAAATATGCGAACAATTACTATGTTTTGTGCTTTTCCCTCTCTTGTGCCCTTTCCCTTTTGAATCAAATGTAAACCTTAGAAATATTGAACCAATATCAGTTAATGAATCACTGAAAATGTGTAATACCCGCACCCCGTTATAACCTCTGTAAGAACTACACTGATATATGCAGGTACAAGACAATTGTAATACAGTTTCCCTATATCACACCGTACAATCAAATGGGCTGACAGCTGTTCTAGCGTCGACAGCTGTACCAGTATATACATGTCGGCGCGGGGAATACAATTGACGTACGGTAAGTATTCATCTATTTTAACATATCCAAACTGTGTTCGAGTAAATCAATGTTATGGATTCATTGTCAACATCCAAAGGAGCATGCTAACAAATTTCTGACCCTGTGCAAGCTTTACTTCACGCGAATTTTGACTGAAAATAACCACACTATCCGATAAGATGCGGCATTTTTAGTTTAAAGTCACAAAAACTTATATTTTCTCATGATAATAAATCCTTTTTTCATACGATTCGTAAACGTCAACATTTCGTCATTAAATATTCCAAACCATACCTTCAAAAAAGCTTTTCTGTTAAAGTTATAAGGTATTTAAGTTTGAGTGTCATCATAATTTTAGTAACGTCATCAGCTGTTCGCCTCTTTTTAATGATAACATCGACAGCAAATTATCGGCAAGAATGAATAACGCTGAAAGCCGTTCAAAGAAACAATTTTCAGCGCTTTTGTGCTACAGTAACTAGGAAAGAGTAAAACATTTTTGTTCATTTAAAATATTACTTTATTCATGATACTTTCTAATTATATAATTTTTATTATTACTTTCTATTATTTGTTGTATCGTAGCTCAGAGGCCTTTATCTTCATTTACCGCACTGTATTTCAACATAAAAATGTACCAAGATCTATTTAAAGGACTCCACTAAGGTTTTTTTTAAAAGACGGGACTGGAAATAATTTTTTGAGATTATTTCTCCATTTGATGTAGATCTATATTAATAATTTATGTGCAAAATTTCCGATCATTAGCTTGCTCCGTTTTTCCAGAATAATTATTATAATAGTGAAAAATGACCCAAAATTGAAAAGAGTCTAAAATCTGACTGAGAATAGCACAAACATGTGATTTTCAATGTATTTCTTCTATACTTCTTGGTTATATTTTATTAATATTTATGTTTTAAGTGCTCATGTTTATCTATGTGAAACAATAAAATTTCATGTTTTTAGGCTTATAAACCTCAGTGGAGTTCCTGTAATAGGTTTATGAAATGTTTAATTCAAATAGCAAAGGCAAATTTAACGCTTAATACGAATATTCAGTCCTGTAAATGAAGGCATCCATCAAGTGTTATTATTAATAAAGGCATATAGTGGACAAGTCCTACGCAGTGAATGGCTGTGTAACCCGAGATATGAAAGTGCATGGAAAAAGATGTTGTTTTTGATCCTTAAAATCTGTTTTAATGTATAGTGCAATAGAAATAATAATCATTCTTAAAAATTATTTAAATTTTTATGTTTTAAATAAGTAAATGTTATAACATGGGGCAAGTGTGCCTTTAGTCCATATTGGCACACTTGGTGAATTATTTGCCCGAGGGCTTTATGTTTATTGCATATGTTCCGCAGCAATTTTTCAGACTGTAAGAAAGTCAAGTAATAACGTAATTGTTCTAATATAGTTATTAATTGGCTATCCGTGTTGTTCGATTATATTATCTAAATCCATCAAGCGATTCGCTAAAGATGTAAACGTCCTTTCGACGGCCATTTTTTTTGCGATGCGGTTGTCAATTACAACGCGGACGTTCTGCCGTTACTGTACAACAGGTGCGTGATAACCGGAAATAGTCTCAATATGGGATTTTGGCACACTTGGCAAGTGCGCCAATATGGCATATAGGCACACTTGCTCAAATACGGGATTTTCGCATGTCATATTCAGAAAAAAGAAACGCATTTTTATTACTATTTATAGTAACATATGCAATAAATCATTTTATATGGCAGACATCTCGGGTAACAAAGCCATTTACTGCATGGGACACGTCTACTATATGCCATTATTTATAATAACACTTGATGGATTTATTTATAATACAGAGTATTCGTATTAAGCGTTAAATTTGCCTTTACTTTCTTTGAATTTAACATTTCAGAAACATATTAATAGATCTTGATACCTTTTTATATTGAAATACAGTGCGTTAAATGGAGATAAAGGCCTCTGAGCTAAGATACAACAAATAATAGAAAGTAATAATAAAAATTATATAATTAGAAAGTATCATGAATAAAGTAATATTTTAAATGAACAAAAAAGTTTTACTCTTTCCTAGTTACTGTAGCACAAAAGCGCTGAAAATTGTTTCTTTGAACGGTTTTCAGCGTTATTCATTCTTGCCGATGAATTGCTGTCCATGTTATCATTAAAAAGAGGCGAACAGCTGATGACGTTACTAAAATTATGATGACACTCAAACTTAAATACCTTATAACTTTAACAGAAAAGCTTTTTTGAAGGTATGGTTTGGAATATTTAATGACGAAATGTTGACGTTTACGAATCGTATGAAAAAAGGATGTATTATCATGAGAAAATATAAGTTTTTGTGACTTTAAACTAAAAATACCGCATCTCATCGGATAGTGTGGTTATTTTCAGTCAAAATTCGCGTGAAGTAAAGCTTGCACAGGGCCAGAAATTTGTTAGCATGCTCCTTTGGATGTTGAAAATGAATCCATAACATTGATTTACTTAAACACAGTTTGGATATGTTAAAATAGATGAATATTTACCGTACGTCAATTGTATTCCCCGCACCGACATGTATATACTGGTACAGCCGTCGACGCTGGAACAGCTGTCTGCCCATTTGATTGTACGGTGTGTATATGAATCAATGGAAAAAACAGCACTGTTATAAATTATGTCAATGCAATACTCAAATCCTCATTGAAAAATGAAAATGGGTTAGTAAGAATAAAACAAAATCCTAATTGCTAAAATACAAGTAAAAGAAACCATCGTGAGTAATAAAAATAGTAAAACGCGTGTTGTAATTACCTGACATTACCGTTTAAACTATTCCTTTGAAGTTAAATTATCAAACACAACAATTTAACAATTTTATATACTTTATTTCCTCTAACTTCCTGTTCACTCAAAACAACTGATAATATGAACGTTCCGAATAAGCAACCTGTTTACTTGATAACCAATCTAGATCAAACCTGTCATACATTATAACTGGTATGCGATATGTATGTGCTGTAAATTGAAATAAATTTAGTAAAATATGTAAGACAAACCCATTACATAATTTCTTATTATCGCATGGATTTGAGCTTTTCTTTGTTCTTTCTAACCCATTATAATAGGTACACTTCCACTGTCTTGATATACAACAGCTAGTAAATTTTTTTCACTTGATTCACATAACTCGATTGAGTTTTTTTAGAACCTGCTATATATTGGTTGAGTTTTTGAACGGAGGTTCGAAGGGGGCATGGGGTAACACATTCAAAATATAAAAAAAGAGCAGGTTGTACCGGGTGATGCTCCCCAAACAGGTTTTGGACACAAAAAACCACTTTATGCTGATATCTCTCGTAGTATCAGAGTTATGTCTCGGACACTAATGAACAAAGGACAATAACTCAAAAATTAGGCTAAGCAAAGTAACGGTCTTTTTACATTGCACATTTACCCAGTGAGATCTATTTAGCTACAAAGTTTCTTGTTGATATCTCTCATAGTTAAGGGTAATTTCCTGGACAATAAACACAGTGTAAAAATGAAAGGGCAATAACTCCAAATCAGGCAAGCCAGAGCTACAGTTCTTTTGCACTGAACTTCTACTCAATTAGATCTATCTAACTACAACATTTGTTGTTGATACCTCTTGTGGTTATTCCTTTTTCTTCTTTTGCTAACAGCGACAACAAATTTAACCGGCTGTGCTCTCTGACTTATTATATATGGCTATAGCTGTGAGATCCCTTAGACAGCATTAGCCGGTATTGGTCCATTTTATCTGGGGTTTCCATTTGAAACATATCGGGATGTTTCTGCAAACAAAATCGTCTCGACCGGACGGCCTCGACATTTGTTGTTTTTTTTTTGCAGAAACAACCCTCGATGTCGCCTGAGCCACTGTTATACCCCGTAAATAACTCGTTCTATTACATAATAAAGGTATTAATCACTGTTAAAGAAACTGTGTTGACAGACTTATCCCGATTTTATCATTGAACCGTCAGTTAAAGGTTTAAGAAATTTAAATATAAAATAACTAAACTTAATAAAACATCAAACTGTAAAATGTGTGGACATATTTCGGGAGGCTGACTTGGTGCATGGTTTTGCTAATGATTACAGTTACCTTAGGTCTTGGTATCTTAAATATTTTGATAATAAACCACTTCAAACTGGTTATGACAAAATATAACAGCTAAATAAACAAAGTAATTTTGTATGATGCACACCATGCGAATGTGAACACAAATGTCATCACCATCATGCATTAAGT